AAGATCGCTATCATTAGGGATCGGATGCGTACAGCTCAAAGCAGACAGAAAAGTTATGCTGACCGTCGAACTCGTGCTTTGGAGTTTAAGGTTGGTGATCAGGTTTTGCTTAAGGTTTCTCCTATGAAGGGAGTAATGCGGTTTGGGTCAAAGGGTAAGTTATCGCCTCGTTTTGTGGGTCCTTTTATGATTACAGATCGGATTGGGGCAGTAGCTTATCGTCTGGCTCTACCAGATAATCTTCATAGGGTACATAATGTTTTTCATGTATCTATGCTGCGAAAATTTCTACTGGAAGAAGATCGATATCAACACATTGATGTGGGTGAAATTGAGTTGCAACCCGATGCAACCTATTTGGAACAACCTTACTGTATTCTCGATCGTAGGAATCAGATACTGCGCACGAAGACTATTCCATTAGTACGTGTACAGTGGAGTCATTATAGTGCTACGGAGTCTACTTGGGAACGGGAAGATATTATCCGTGCCAAGTATCCAGAGCTTTTTACTACAGGTATGTAGTGAATTTCGGGGACGAAATTCCTTTATTAGGGGGGGAGAATGTAATACCCCGTATTTTATTAAAGAGTTTAGTTTATTTAAATTCATTTATGTGTGGATTTCTTTACCTATTATTGTGCATGCTACATTGTTATATTAAGTTCATTTAATGGTGCATGTAAATTAATTGTATATGTTAAAATAGTAAATTTATTCATTTAATTGTGTATGTATTATTATTAATAATTTTATTTGTTGATTATGTTTAATTAAGCATTATTAGTTAATTAAAATATTATATTTATGTTATAAAGTATTATGATGATATAATGTATTCTTATGTAATAATAATAATAATTATAATAGTTATTAATAATAATAATAATATAATAATATTAATTATAATAGTTTATTAATAGTTATAATAATAATAATAGTTATAATAATAATAATAGTAGTAAATCATAAGTCATGATGAAATTAGAGATTAGGATAGGATTTCATTAATATTTATAGGTAGGACTTGAAGCCATATGGTTGGGAATGTGGTGAGTTTAATGTAAATTAAATATTTGTAATATTTATATTATATAAATTGTATATAAATTAGCTAGCCTACCTTAGAAGGAATGGAAGGGAGTTAGAAAAAGTTATAATTTTTAGTGAGCCATTGTAAAAGTGTGGAAAGGAAGAGAGAGAAAGAAAGGAGTTTGGACCGGTGTAGGAGAAATTTACCCGACTACGTGCAACCGGCGGATTTATTTTAAATCCAAAAAGGCAAGTTATTATCTACTTTTCCCCTTTGAATTAATAAATTAATTGTTTAGTTTATTTTTATGCATAGAGACCAGGTTAGGAGGTTAATAAATTATTAATTTTAGTTTATTAAATTAATCAAATTTTAATTATATAGGATGGTATATATTTATTTAATATCCTATGAAATTAATAATGGCCGAAAATAATTAAATAAAGCTTTAGGGATTTTTCTAGAATTTTCTAGATTTTTCCGGGGCTTTTCTGCAATTTCCGGCGAGACTCCGGCGAGTTTTCCAGCCACCGGATGTGAGGGAGATGACCGGAGTGATCTGGTGTGATGCGGCGTACTTTAGGGTAGCGTGCGCGCGCATCCTGGGCCTTAGATGAATCTGATTGATCCGGTGCATCGCGGTCCATGTTACCGCGGTACACCCGGATCATTGACCCTTGGATTAGGTGAGATGAGATGAATGATCCTGTGTAGCGCACCCACGGCAAGTCAATACAGCCAACCAACCAGGAGGTGCCACGCCTGCAGGAGACTTAAATGCCCGCGTGGGAGCGCGTGCGCGTGCGTGGCTGATGCCAGACGCGCGTGGAGGCGCGTGGGAGAGTGGGGAAGGTTGGGCTGCGCGTGGGGAGGCTCTGGGAGGCGCGTGAGGGCGCGTGTGGGGTCTCTACAGCTGCTGGAAATTACCAGAATACCCCTAAGGCCTGTTTTGTAAATTCCAGAACCTTAAACTTGGATTTTTAGGTATTGTGTTGGTATTTACGGGTTTAACGGGCCACGAAATTATTATTTTAATACCCGTTAAGTATTATTATGGCCGATTAATATTTCTAAACCTTCATTGGCCCGTTTACCGTACGGATATGAATGTGACTCATTTGACCACATTACTATAGATGGTATTATTATGTTATTAAATGGTATTCATTATTACTGTTCAAGTATAATAATGTCACGGTTATCGTCATATAAATTATCCATTATATTATGGGATATTTATACTGTTAATCACATATCAACCATGATTATTATGATGTGTGCATTTCAGGGAATAAATGGACTGTTTATTATGTCGCATTTATATTATATGGATGTGTTGCCATATAGAACCATGTGAGCTGGCTAATAAGTTTAGACTCATTCATACCTTATGCATTCGTTGCTATAGACAGATGTGTGGCTGTCGGGGTATGTGGTTTAATATTATTGGCATGTGTTGCCTAATTAACATACTCAGTATATTTAGTATTATTATTGGCCTGTATTGCCTAATTGATATGCTCAGTATATTCATCAGTACATTGAGAGGTGTTATCACTGTGTAGTTCGTTATAGTCCGTGTTGTCAGTAACGTGCACCATGTATAATAGCTGATTTTCCAGGTAGGAAAATGCGACACTTAACCACCTAGTGTGAGTCTAAGTGATCACCGTCTATTCTGGTTGAGGTCATATTATACATTGGGTGGTTCCCTTAGGATGTATACAGATATAGTACTCGGCCGATTCATAATGATTAATTTATTTGATTCTCTGATTTGGGTCATAGTAGAGAGAACTTGCTCGTGGGGTTGACCCACCATTGTTGTTATTTCAGGATACGGTCAGTACCCGTTCCAAGGTTGAGGTTAGCAGTAAGGGACCACCATCCGAACTCATCTACTCTTACGATCCAGTTCAGGGTAGAAGTTTTATGTATTACTTCAGTTTCAGTTTTTACTTACTTTTGACGTTGAACTCTCCGGTTTATATTTAGGGATCCTTGACATAGGATTTCCAAGTTGTAAGGGAGTACTGTATTAAATAAAGGATGGATGGATATTGTATCATTTAGTGTTCCTTTCCTGTCTAAATTCTTTTATTATCATCATTTTGTATTCCATGCTTGTATATTGCCAATTATTTTTGATATCCCTCGTTTTTCGTGTATAAGCCTGATCAACTTATGCGTGGAAAATGTTGGGGGTGTCACAGACAGCTCAAGGAATTTGTAATATAATAGGTTGCCCATTTGGCCATGCATGCCCATGTGTCACTCCGATAACTGGTTCCAACACAGCCACAAGTAATGGGTTGCACTTGCTCAAACTAGCTTCCAATGTTTATTATTAGAACAAACACCAAAAGCTCATTTTCTTGAAGAATTATTTATATACATACATACATAAATACACAGATACACGACCAAACATAAAAAGCTTATTCCCTTTTAAGCATGGTTGGCAGTTGCAGTATCAATCGCGGTATAACACATTTAAATAAATATTAATATGAATAGGAGCGGCTGGACCTTTAGACGACCTAAGCGATCGCCTAAGACCGCAGCCAATAGGAAGGCCTCAACTTTTTTATTTCTTTATATTATATCATTCCTAAAAATTTTATTTTCTACTCCAGCTAATATAAAGGTCCCCAAAATTTTTATTTCTTTATATTATGACTTTCAATTTTTTTTATTTGTTTATATTATAACCTTCCTAAAATTATTATTTCCTTCTATTATTAAACTTTGCCAAATAGAAAGACCCCAATTTATTTTATTTCCTTATATTATAACCTTTTTAAAATTTTTATTTATATCTATTGTTGACTCTAACCAATAGAGATTTAATAGGGACCAAATGATTTCTAATTTTTATCTTACCCTTCTTTTTTTTTTTTTTTTTTTTTTTTTTTTTTTTTTTTCTCTCTCAACTCCTCTTTCAATGTTTCTTTTTTCTCCGGAATTTGTAAAACTTTTCATATTTTTATTTTAACTTTTGTTCTTTTTCCTTCATTTTTCATTAAGCATAAATTGTATAACTCTAAGATCAATTATGTAACAAGAAAAATTAATTGAATTGACTATATATTAGATATTAAAATACCACTTTTATATTTTTCATTTAAAGCTTCAAATTATATTCAACTGTCCTTGTATAAACGGGTATATAATGGTATTAGATTCTTGAAAAAAACAGTTACCAACGAACCAACAGATGTCGCATATAGGCAGGTGAACCATGCTCTAAAGAGTATCAATAATCAATCAATAATTTCCTATAAAAAAAATAAACACATATAGCGTTATTTATCAATCTTTGTTAGTCCAACAAGAAAAAAATGTTTATACGCGCAAGTTTACTAATAAGTCAAAACTAAAAAAATATTCCATATCCAACAAAACATAAAAACACATGCATATAATTATTTTATTTGATTTTAATTAATATTATATGGTACTAATAAATAATATCTAGCCAAATCCAGCTCTCACCTCATATGTATTTGTCAGGCCGGATCATTGTTGTTCGCACGCGCTCCACAAGCGCGTACCTCGTTAGCAACACACTATTCTGAATCCTTCACCGCTATTTTGGCGCGTAAATATCACGCACTTCTCTTTCCATTTCTAAACGCCGTATCGACCAATTAGTGTTTAGGGCCAACGCCAAAGCTCCGTAGAACTAGGAACCGTTGATCACCGTTAATTTTGGAACTTGTTCCGTTTAATAACCTCCGTTTTGTTCCCTCATCTCACGCCGTCTCACGAACTCCGTCGGAGTTGTGGACCCTACATACATATACCACCATCGTAGAGAGAGAAAGTTATCATAAGAGTAAGAAAGCGGAAATTCAAATATAAACATCATTTTAGAGAGAGAAAATACATGTATCATGTAGGTATATTATTATATCGGTAGAGAGAGAGAGCGAGAGAAATTGGAAGAGAGAGAGCGGGAGAAATTGGGGGCTTAGAGGGAGAAATTGGGGGCTTAGAGGGAGAAAGTGAAAGAAAAAATAGAGATTTGGTAGAGAGAGCGAGATAGAGAGAGACTGATATAGGTTTAGAGAGAGAAAGTGAGGGATTTGTAGAGGGAGGAAAGAGATTGGTACACTTGCTGTCGTTTGCCTTCGAGCCTCTTTCCCGTCCCGTTTTTGCCCTCTCGAACGCTTCGAAGGTTGAGAGAGAGAGAAATAAAAACTAACTTTTCATCATTCTGTGATATAAATTTCTCGGAAAATTTCGGCCTTTTCGAATCCAATTAGAGGGCCTGAGCTAGGGTTTCGATTGTCAGTATTATAACCCGTGTCTTTTTCGAATTTTCTGAAGGCGAGAGTTTGCAATTCGAAGTGATTGGATAGTATGTTGATCAGAAATGCGAATCTGTGAGAATTTCATCTCCGATCTCGATATTAAAGTTGCAATTGAAGGCTTCAAGAGATGGATGTTGATTCTTCAATGGGGTCGGAGTCCGATCACGACACGACTGCCGAGAACCAAAACGGTGCTGCGTCCGAGGAGCTCGGAGGGCCCGAGCAGTCTCCTGCAGCTTCTGGATCTCCACAGCAGCTACCAACTCCGCCGCAGCAGACGCCTCCTCCGGTGCAGCAGAGCCCCGTAGCGGGGCCCAGGCCGGCGCCAACTTACTCGGTGGTGAACGAAGTGATAGAGAAGAAGGAGGACGGTCCAGGTCCAAGGTGTGGTCACACGCTGACGGCTATAGCTGCGGTCGGGGAGGACGGGACGCCCGGTTACATTGGGCCGCGGTTGATTCTCTTTGGTGGCGCCACTGCTCTGGAGGGCAATTCCGCAGCTTCAGGAACTCCAACCTCAGCTGGAAGTGCCGGCATACGTATGTCTCTGATTTAATCCTAATTCCACTTTTTAGATTCTTCATATTTGGATATTGGGTTCTTTGAATTTTCGTTCTAGAACCCTAGATTTGTTTGAAGCCCAAGTGCCACATGGTGCAGATAAGTTTATTTATGTTAGTCAAACAAATTTTAAATCCAGGTGCTGCACGATATGTTTTCGTTGTTTTATTCCCTTTTCATTTTATCATGCTCAACTGAAGTATTCTAACCTTTAACCTTTGTCAATTATGCCCTAGCAAGTGAAATTGCACACTGGTGGTTTTGTTTGTATGGTGCAAAAACCTTTCCTTGTCATGGTTTTGAGCCAAGATTACGTTTTGTTTATGACGTAAAGAACCTTTATTAACTTGAAAGTAAACTAATCCAGCATTCATCACTAGTAATATAATTGATTCTATATGAATTTAATAAGGCATGCTATCCAAATATATATATATATATATATATATATTTATATATGTATATATATGTCAAAATGCAACATGCACATATTGATTGGTATGCCTTCTAATCTCATCCACGTTTTAATGACTTTTAAGGTTGTATTTTTTGATTCCAGGATTAGCTGGAGCAACAGCTGACGTGCACTGCTATGATGTGATGACAAATAAATGGTCTAGGTAAGCAACTAATGATCATTTATCAGCTAAGCGCCTTACTAAGTTCTCTTTCTTTATCTAGTGGTTAGTTCATTTGATTCAATAATGGTGGTTATGTAGTTCTATAAACTTACTGCAGAATTACTCCCTTTGGAGAACCACCCACACCGAGGGCAGCACATGTGGCTACTGCTGTGGGTACTATGGTGGTTATTCAGGTTGGCAGATCCATGGATATTTAAGTAGTTTATCTTATTAAGTTGCAGTTCTTTGTTCCTTTTGTATCTAATCATTAACTACTCGTTGGTCTCCCTCAATCCAACACAGGGTGGAATTGGTCCAGCTGGTCTGTCTGCTGAGGATCTCCACGTTCTTGATCTTACACAGCAACGACCACGATGGCATAGGTTAGACTATTTAAGGATGTTTTTGGCCATTTAGGTGTACACAGACACACAATACATGTACATATGCATAAACACTTGTATGCATATATATTTTTTATTGCATCTTATATCCAGTGAAATAGGGTTAATTTTTCTGTAGGGTTGTGGTCCAAGGCCCTGGACCAGGGCCACGTTATGGGCATGTCATGGCTCTGGTAGGGCAAAGATATCTCATGGCAATTGGTGGAAATGATGGTGAGTCTCTTACGCAGCTCTTCCGTGACTAAATTGTATTCTATTTTAGGGAGTTTGTCAGTTTAGATGAGCAATATTTTGGTGCATGATTACCAGGAAAGCGACCTTTGGCTGATGTATGGGCGCTGGATACAGCTGCCAAGCCTTATGAATGGCGAAAACTGGAACCAGAAGGAGAAGGTCCACCTCCATGCATGTAAATTTCTTCACCTCAATTTATACGTGTACTCGAGTTCCCTTTCTCATCACATGATCTTCTGTTTTTAGTGAGTGCTTTTCTATTCCTAGTTGAGTTTCATACTTATTATCTCACTTATGTGCACAAGTCTGTGTTTTACATTAACAAGCTTTAGCCTTAAGGCATTTGAAAAACGGACATCTTCCCAGCAAGGTTCTGATCATTGTGTTCACACTATTTATTGTGAGTCGCCAACTTGGGTGTGTAGGCTGATTGGAGGTTTCATTTTAACTAGCAGGCTAGAAATGCTTGGGCTTGTCAGTAGCTGTACAAAGATATGAGACATGATACAGATTGTTTGTTAATGTTTGACATGCCAACTTGAGTACTACTCTCTCCGTCCCAAAATAAGTGTTCCATTTGAAAAGTCATGTAATATTTTTTTGTAATATTACCAATTTAACCTTCTTCAATTGAACCTATAGAAAGTAAACCATCACATCATTGTGGACCTACTAAGGGTAAATTTGGTAATTCATTCACTACTAATACAATAAAAAATAGTAAAAACCATTCTCTTAAAAAGTTAGATTCCCAAAAAGGGACACTTATTTTGGGACGGAGGGAGTATTTTATTTGCTTTCTTTGTTGGTTCAAAATACTATTTTTTTTTTGGAAATATTCATGCATAAAGCCAGTTATGTAACCAACTCTTTATGACTATTTATCTCCAAGCTACCCAATCCAACAAACACCTCTTCGTACAAGCAAAATGGAGAAATGAGTGTTGGTTACACAAATGATTAACTGAGTTTACCAGGAAAAACAACATAAGTGATTATTTGACTAAAAAAAGTGTTCATATAGGTGACAACATTATAAACTGTGAAAAAAAATACACTCTGTAATTTTACTTATGTTATAAGAATCAAGTGTATTTTCTTTTTGTTTTTAGTAGGGCCAATTGGATTGTATTTTGGGCCAAGTTGTGGTGTTGAGTATTTAGTTGTGAAATTTAGTATCTTTATTTAACTTTTTTTGGTCAAAGTCTTGAAGTTTCTAAACACGGAATCCAAGTCTTAGTGGAGTTATGATTACTTAGAAGCTATATAAAATTGTATAAGTTTTTCAATTCAGTGGAGAACAAGTTCTAGGGAATGTTTCTGTCAATTATGTTCTTTTAACACCAACCCAAAAAATAAAAATAAAATAAATTTTATGCTCTTTAAAGAATGTGTGAGCAATTATTACCATGGGCATGATTGCTTGAAGGGACTTACGAATAATTAGGGCTAGTCTAGTGCACGAAGCTCCCGCTGTTGCAGGGTTCGAGAAGGGAAACATGGAAACGATCTTATCTCTACATGCATAGAGGCTTTTTTCCGTTTTGCGCTAGCGCCAAGGCCTGTCTCGGACCTAGGAGTAATCTTAGCATTATTTTCTACTTTTCTTTTTTCTTATTATTTTTTTGCTCATTATTGGCTACAGATACCCATAACCTGATCTTTTTAAATCCTTTAAATCCAATTTTACAAGCCAACTCCATTCCTTCAACTATATGACTCTAGCAGCCAAAGTAACACAAATCAGCCTGTGAACTGTACTGTCCAGAGTTCACAGCAGTTTAACAGCTCGTAAATCTTATTTTTCCTCGCCTAGTTGTAAGTTTGTAACCCCAAATCCACGCACCTTTTATTAATCCTTTACAATTTCTAATACTCCATATTTTTGTCAACCTTTAGCTACAAAACTAATAATATCCAGCTTTGAAGCTGTCTCAGCATGTCCCCCGTATTTTGGGGTGTTAGATCTTCTAGGAGAGCATTCTTCACACTCAGTCCAATCAATTCTTTGGATATATATATATATATATATATATATATATCCATTTTTAGGAATTTATATTTAGGGTTAAGTGCAAAAGATTCCCTGTTATATATTTTTTGTCCAAAGACAACATGTATGTTTGTATATAACTATTATGCGGCATATATTGAGAGTAAATTGCTGTCATAACTTGTTTAACAATTTTCTACATGTTTATTTGTATATAATTATGTGTCCATGCACTTGCATTGATCCTAATAGTTTAGATGATTAACCAGTCCTGATTCCAGACCCTTATTCTTCATTTGAGTGAGACGCACATGATCTTTAATGGCTCTAAATCATAGCTAATCAAGATTCTTTTGTGAATTTGAGTGGTCTGTCTACCTGTTAGTATGCACATATACAAGCACCAGGACTCATGCCAGTCGTCATAGAATTAGTTCTGTCCCATTCTGCTTGATTGGGGTAATGGAGTTTTGTTGCTCTAAATTCATGTACAAACAGCACATCACATGTTATATCCTTCACATTTTTGTATTGTTGATAGGTCTCTAGCTTAGTTCTGTTTAATGGGCTTTCTCTAGTTCTAGTTGGCCTTATACTTCTTGAAGATTATTTTCAGTTGATATCTTGTTTGGTCCTGTCACTTTGAATAGGTATGCAACTGCAAGCGCACGCTCTGATGGTCTTCTTCTGCTTTGTGGAGGGAGGGATGCTAATAGTGTGGTGAGTTATAATATATTCTATTGTGTATGATTTCTGGTGCCAAATGTGTGAGAGTGTTTAAGCGAGGTGCTTTGGCTAGCTTGTCTTTATCAAAATATAGTTTTTCTTTGTCAGAACAATCGATATATCTTTTGCTTTCGTATATTTTCTCCTTTAATATATGTTGTTGGTTTTCTTTGTTGGGAGCCAGTGGATGTACTTGTTGAAATATGTTCCTCCTTGAATTTATGGTCTTCTCAGACGAATAGTTTTTCTTTGTCAGAACAATCGATATATCTTTTGCTTTCGCTTTCGTATACTTTCTCCTTCAATATTTGTTGTTGGTTTTCTTTGATGGGAGCCAGTGGATGTACTTGTTGAAATATGTTCCTCCTTGTATTTATGGTCTTCTTGGATTAGAGGAACTTGGAGGACTCTGATGCCCCCCCCCCCCCCCCCCTTTTTTTTTTTTTTCCAATGGTGTTTGGGGGGGGGGGGGGGGGGGGGGGGTGGGGGGGTGGGGGGGTGGGGGTTGTTATAAATGATCAATATGGATTCGTTCTTCAACACACTTTGATGGTCTCTCAGTGTCTGATTTTTCTGAGTTTCCATCTTTGGTGGGAAATTTTTGTGCCTCTTAAATATCTTTCTCATGTAAAGAGAATGCATTTTTTTGTTTTTGTGGTTAATTTAATACGTCTGCCCAACTAATTGGGATGCATCTTGAAGCTGAATGCATGTGAGACAGTAAATCCTTAGCTGGCTTTGCGTAGAAACTTTTCTCTGAGTCACAATTGTAAATACATTGTTTCTGAACTTCACATTAATTTTTCATGGTCAAAATCTATTGGGTTCCCAAAATTTGGTCAATATAAGCTTTAAAGCATATGATGCGCACGTGTTGAAACTGCACTGATATGGTTGTAGCCTATCAACTCAATGCCACCAAATGGGCAATCGCGCAGCTGGTACAAACTTGGCCCCCCCAAAGGGACGTCAGTGGTTCAAGCTTCCTTGGAGGCATGTGTGTGAGTTTGGTTTACCTACCATATAAAAAAAAAATTAAAAAAAAAAAAAAAAAAAACTCAATGCCAGCAACAATATTTAAATTAAAATTGTTATTTTCTCGTTCATTTCTTCTTATATTTATGAGCTAAATTAGTTATCTCAAAAGTGGATTTTAGAATTTAAGAACATTTGCCCTTCATATTATAAGACCATATTGCTTATGGTTTGAAGATTTGATCGATATCTCTCTCTTCCCCCCTACCCAACACCCGCCTCTTTTGACAGCTGGGTTATGAAATTAAGGGTACATGGACTATACTTCTATATTTGGTAGAGGGAAGAATGGTGGGGAGTGAGAGAGGGAAAGGAAGGAGGAGGGATGAGATTCCCCTTGTACGATAGAGGGGAAAGGCCAAGGGAAAGGAAAGGAAAGGAAGGAGGATGTTTCCCTCCAGGTCCACCATTGTGCTTTTGCCAGAGGGGAGAAGCATCTTCACGCCTCTTTTCACTTGTAGCACAAACAGCATTTTTTTACTGTTTTATCGTTTAATGATTAAATCTTTCAATACTTATTTCCTTCTTCATTTCCTCTCAAGCAGAAGAACGGAGAAGCTCTTTCATTTCCTTAGGGCTACCTCTTTCATTTTTCAAATATTTCCTTCCTTTCAATTTTCCATCACTCCTAATAAAGGAGAATAAATAATGAGGTTTATATGCATACAACATACTGGAATAGTAGTTTTGACTGTTTGATTTGTGAAGTGTTGATTCTGAAGTTTGTGGGAGATATTGACTCTCTGTCATCCTTGTGGTCTTTAGTTGTGAAGGAGTTTGAAGATTCTTATATTGATTTAAAGAAATCAGGTGGTTCCTTTGTGTTATGTCTGTTTAGGCTAAGTCCTTGGTTTCTATGGATACCTCCTCCTGTTAGGGTGCTTTGACTTAACACTTATGGTTGCTCCGTTTGGAACCTTGGTAAATTGGAATGTGTGGTATTTTTAGTGATCATGGCAGAGAGGTTCTTCTATGTTATTTAAGTTGGCTGGTAAATTAGATGCTGCTCAGATAGGGATCTTTAAGTGGGTTTGAAGGTCTTTTTAAGAAATTCTCTCTTCAAGAGTGAGCCATATATTCGTTACAGGGATTTGGTAGTTATTTTAGGTTTGGATGACTTCTTCGTGCTATGATAACATAATTAGGCATGCTTTGCAGCCAAAGCATGTTTCCTTTTCTTTGATTCTATAGGTCAGGCAACAGTGAGGCAGACTTCTTAGCTAAAGAAGAAAGAGGAGGGGGGAAGTATACATCCCTTGAGTTGTCATCACAACCTCCCCTAGAATATGGCTTCTTGGGTAGGTTGTTTTTGTCCTCTTAATTAAAAATTAATTATTAATTATTATTATTATTATTATTATTATTTTTTGGGGGGGGGGGGGGGGGGGGTTTGTGGTGTGGTTCTCTCTTACAGTTGTACGGTTTCTCCACCTTTGTACATCATGATGTAATTTTATAAGAATATGTTTGTTCTGTTTCCTGGAAAAAAAAAAAGAGAGGATAAAAACAAAAATAGAAGTTTGTAGCAGTATGTCGGTTATGGACGGAGTCCTGTAAGTATCTTATAATTTCTTATATGATGTTTTTATTCCAGTGAGAGCAGCATCACCAGTTTCAATGTCACATGTTTTGACCTGTTTCATTCTCTGTAAATGATTTTTGCAGCCACTGCCAAGTGCATATGGACTTGCTAAACATAGAGATGGTCGTTGGGAATGGGCAATTGCTCCTGGTGTCTCACCATCTCCTAGATATCAACATGCAGCAGTGAGTTTCATTTTTGATTTTTCAATTTAGCTGCTCTCTTAAAATATATAGGAAATAAGTTATTTACATATATTACACTGCTATAGGTTTTTGTTAATGCACGACTTCATGTATCGGGAGGGGCACTTGGTGGTGGACGCATGGTGGAGGACTCATCAAGTGTTGCAGGTGCTTTTTTTGATTATTTTTACCCTAATATTTTGAATCTGTTGATTTACAGAAGTTACAACAGGGTTGACTTCTGCATACTCCTTGCACATGGATAAAAGAAGTTATGATTAGATTATACGACAAACTTCTTAGTCTTATAGGGCTCCAGTTTTGTATATAGACTAGGCCACAGTCTTAAAAATTAGGCATGGTGTTTTGACTGATTTGTGCTGAGCAGCATCACCAAAAAACTAAATTGAAAACCCTCGTTTCAACTGTGTCTGTTGCCTCATCAGCACCCTTAGAACTTCCCAGTTCCTCTCTCCCAAGAAACCAAATTATTGCGAAATATGAGGCTCTCTTGGTTACACAGCCTTTGTGATGCCATACCCTCTAATCCTTCCAATCCAAAATTTACTATACGGATAAGTGCATAAACTTGAAGCTCATCAAGTCACAATGCCAAGCATTGGATGAGAAAGGGGAAGGAGTGAGTGAATGCATGAGACTTGGCAAGTATCTATTTGGATCTGTCTACTTCCTTGTAACGAGATTTTCATCTTGCTTGTGGCTGGGGTCATTTACTAATTTGAAAATTACAGAATTAACTGTCTGGATCTCCCCAAAAGGATGTTCAATGGAAAATCCACCTTGGAAGGTGCTGTGCTTAAATCTTATAAATGAAACTTGATGGATAAAGTCCATTAATATTCACCAAAGACTGAAGGATCTAACTAATAATGCACTCAGGGCCCATTCAGTTCTTGAAAATAGCAAGGGAAAGGAAAGGAAATAGTTTAAGAATGCTATATTTTTTTTTATAAAAAAATAGCATTTGTTAGTACATTCCTTCCCTTTTCCCTTGTTTTAATTTGTTCCAAACAGACACTACTGCACTTATTGAAACTCACCTTCTAGCATTTACATTTGTTGGATCTATGCTAATGCTTTGAGCTTTGCAGCATACCCTTTTTTTTTGATAAGTTTGCAGCATACCCTTTAATGTATCATCTCCTAAACCTTAAGTCTTTTATCCTACGCTCTCTTTTCTGCTATGTCAGAGGCAGCACTTGCTCCTCGATCGATGACTTTTTTGTTCTATTGGACTCTGTTGGTCCATAGGTTTGGCTTTTGCTCTTTCGTTTTTGTGTATTAGGGACGCGTTCCCCTTTTGAACGTCTTTCTAGTATATTTTTACTTATCAAAAAAAAAAAAATGTATCATCTCCTAATCCAGTAATCTTTTTTGAAATGGGTGACTGCGTGATCCCCTTCCATTGAGAGAGATGATTACGCATGTCTGCTTGTTGATTGCTCTGCTGTATTTGTAAAGCCATTTATGGAGACTCAGGCTTGCCACACATTATCCAGAAGTCCCATTTAGATCCATTGCGAAGTGACCTCTTTGGTCTTGCTTTAGAAAATATAAATAGAATAAATTCATTTCGCAATTATGCTTGCACAACATCTTAATACTTCATTCATATATATATATATATATATATATATATATATATATTATAAATATATAATATCTATCTTCTATATTAATTCTAGAAAAAGGATAAATAGAGGCTAGGCACTTGACAGTCTCATCTATTGGTCGATAGCGTGTTTTCTCTCTTTCTTTTTTTCCCCCTTGTATCAGTCCTCCTGACTCTCTCCTTTCTCATTTTCTATTAATTTTTTAAGGTTGTATGATTGTATGTTCCTCATGTTTTAGGTTAATATTAAGAATAGGAAAAAGTGACGACAAGGGCGTTTTCACTAACCTAGCCCCTTTATAACCATGGATCGCAAGGCTGTGAGGTCAGTCTTTGCATCCAACAATAACAAGGATGAAGCTCAATGAAAGTGTTTACATTATAGATATGCTTTGAAGAAAATATATTAAGACTTATATTGTCAAGGAAAATTCATTATGATTATTTTATATATTATTTAAATTTTACTTACATAATTATAGTTTGGCCCAACAACTTAATTCTTCTGCTTCAACCTCAGCTTCCACTTGTGGACAGTTATGATGTTTAAATGGTTTATCATCATGCTTTTTTTATTTGAAATTCTGGTTTCTCTTTCTCTTTCTGTCAAGTATGAAATTTATTACTTAACAGAAAAAGTACACACACACACACACACACACACAAATTGACAAGTAATATTAATTAGAAGTGCTCAGAGGGGAGCGCACCCAAAGAACAAAGCAAGCAAAAGTATAGCTAAGCTCTCAAGCTATCTACAATTTTGCCCATTGACCCAAAAGAATAACGAATTCAAGATAGGATAGTTGAGAGACCAAATAGGAGTTTCCTCCCCGTCAAAAGACCTCCTATTTCTCTCACGCCACAACTTTCATCATAAACAAAGAGGCATGGCCCTCCAAGCATCTCGGGCTTGGCTACCCACTATACAACCTCTTTGAGCCTGGATCAAGTCCATCTTGGATCCAAAAAGAACCGAACAAACTCCATAAATAACAAAGAACATGACCCAAATATCACACACCACAGATCAGTGCAAAAGAAGTTGGTCCGCTAGCCCTCACCCTCCTTGTGCATTCAACACCAATTCACAATGATCTGTCACTTCCTCCTAAGATTGTTGATTGCCATGTTCCTTCTAAGCCCAGATGTCCAAGGAAAGAAAGCCACCTTTAAGGGGGCTTTTGATCTCTAAATGTCTTTCCAAGGAAATGAAGGCCTTTGACCATTCAACAGGAACTGATAAAAAGAGTGCATCTCGAAAACCCCCTTCCATGAGACTGTCCAAATCATCTCACCAATCCCATTGCCCTCCACATCTTAACCATACAACAAAGCAGTAAGTCTGCGATCTCCACCAACTCCAAATCATGAAAATTCCTCTCAAACTTCACATCCCAAGCAGTACTCCTACTATTGAGCCGATAACAGTCAGCAACTAGAACCTGCTTATCCGAGGCAATCCTGAAAAGACAAGGAATTTGATAAGCAAGCAGTCTCTCTCCACAGCAATGATCCCACAACTGCACTCATCTCCCACTCACCTTGAAATGAATATGCTTGGAGAACTCATCCCACCCCTTCCGAATGAGCTTCAATACCCCCACCCGAGCTGAAGACCATACCTCCTTAGTGACCCAACCACCTCTCCTCCCCAATTTTGCGCGAGATGACAACTCCACAACTTAGTTCTCTCCATCCCATACCTCCGAAGCCATTTGGCTAACAAAGCCCAGATGAATACTTCCAACCGCCTAGTACCCCAGCCCCTTGATGCAAAGGAGTGCAGATCGTCCCCCAGTTAAATAAATGGTACTAGAACTCCTCGCCCAAACCTTCCCATAAGATGTCCCTCTGCAACATCTTGATCTTCCTAGTAACACCGGAGGGCATATGGAAAAGAGACCAGAAATAGGTTGGAAGGGTAAGGAGATTACTTTTCAAAAGGGTAACCCGCCCCCCTCTTCAATAGATACAGTTTCTTCCACCCGGCAAGCCTCCTGTCTAAACTCTCTACCACCGGGTCCCGGATAGCTGACCTCCTTGACTGTGCCCCCAACAGCAAACCCAAATATGTGATCGGAAAAGAGGTAATGCCACAACTAAGGGTATACCTGCTAAGGCCTTGATCTCACCAAGGTCCCCCACTGGCACAATCTCATTCTTATCAATGTTAATGTTCAACACAGAAACCACCTGGAAGCAAACCAAAACACGCCTTAGAAACCTTAGCTGATCCATTGTTGCATCACAAAATACAATGTTGTCTGCAAAAAGGGGATGAGTATTCTCTAACCACCCTGAACAGTTGAATTTACCCCTGCCCTCCACCCTCCTCATCAACCTGCTTAAAGGCTCCATTACTATAATAAAGAGAAAGGGAGAGAGAGCACCTCACCGTCAAATTGCAAAAAAGATCCACCTTCTACATATATTGCTAAAACCTTCCATCCTCTCCAACATATACACTAAGAAATCCCAATTCACGCGGTCGTATACTTTTTCAATGTCCAGCTTGCACAAAATTCCCGGGTCCCCTCCACTGATATTGGATTCCACACATTCACTAACTATCAAAGCTGAATCCAAAATATGGCGCCCATTGACAAAGGCATTTTGGAAGTCTGAAATAATACAATCAATGACTCTCCTCGATCCAAGGGCTAGAACTTTAGCTACGATCTTATACATGTTACCCATCAAACTGATTGGCCTAAAATCCTTGGCTTCAATCACCTCACCCTTCTTGGGAATGACTCTTCTCAAATTGCTCTTGCGAATCAAAGGCTCGTCAAATTTCCATTACCTCTCCCTTCCTTGACCACCTCCCAGTTTGGCTGAAAGAAAGCCATGGTGAACCCATCTGGCATTGGAGCCTTGGCCATGTCTCTATCGCAACTCTTCAAAGCTATCTCCACCTCCTCCTCAAATGGTCTTTTCAACCATTCCCCGTCCTCCGTATAAATACTATCGAACTCAAGCCCATTGAGCAAAAGTCTCCAACTAGAAGATTCTAAGTACACTTGCTGGTAAAACGTGACAATCCCTCTCTTAATGTCCTCCTCTTTGTTCAATAGAGTACCATCAATGCAAATTCTACCTATATGGTACCCCATCTGGTGAGAATTTGTCAAACGATGAAAAAACCTTGTATTCCTGAAACTTCTCCCCTCCCATGCGTCAATTTTCAAAACCAACCTCCAATCCAAAGCACCACTACTCTCCCCAAAGCTCCAACCGCATCAAGTGCCTCCCACTCGATAAATGGCCCCCAAAACACTGCACAACCCCATCCGACACTGAGTTCCCTCCCATTGTCTGGGCTGAGTCCGTCACTTGTTCTGCTCAAATTTCCCACCCCACTGTGATAATTCAGCTTTGCCAGAAATGTATTGGCAGAATCCTTCCCCAGAATAATCTATAGACTGTTTCCCCCACACAGGGTAAGCCCACTATCAAACCCCACCATTCGGCAGCACACCAATCATTCCCTTTCCTCATGCTGGTTGTCTCCTGGTCGGTCCCCATCCTCGAGACTGACGAGTCCATCTTCGCACCGATCAGATAGTTTGTTTGGCAACCTCACCTTTGGACTCTCATAGTGAGTCCCCTTTGTCACAGACTCTTGTCCCATTCCCAGCGAAACCCCAGAAATAGATGGAAAGAAAAAAAAAAACTTAGTGGGCTGTGATCTATAATTACTTGCTTTTGGGCTGGGCTGACCTATAGATCCAGCAATCCATTTTTCGTTTCCATCCACGTCCACCTTCTTTTGTCTGGTTGAGAGGTTTGGTTTTGACGGACCTTGATAGCCTTCACCACATTCTGATTGTTAAGCTGTGGATCTCCTTTTATTGGGCCATGGTTCTCCAGCTCAATTCCCTTCTTTTGAATTTGACCATTATTTTTAAGCTTGGCCGCCTGATTTTGACTTGAAAGTCCCTTGCTTTAACAAGTCACCATTTGCCTGTTTCAAATCCACAAGCCCAAGCCCACCTTGCTTCATTAGCTTGCGGCCCAACCCACCACATTGCAAACATATTTTGTCCCCATCACTTGCTTGACCTCCCACGACTTCTAATCCTCTTTGCCATGCAGTCGTCCAGCTACTCCCCACTAATTACTGTTAGGGTTTTTTTTGGACATGTGTCCCCCTTCAACCCCTTTCCCCCTCACACGCCCCAGGCTTGTGTGTAGCACTTCGTTTTCTACGTTGCTCCAGGCCCCTCTTTTGCAACTCAAATTGCCTCCCTCTTCTGTGATTTCCCAATTGCCATTCTCAGCATTCTCCTTATCTTTCCTTCTCCATCATTCTTCTTCCGAAATCAATGAACTTTAATCTCTTCCGGCAAACAAAGCCTTAGTTGGCACCATCTTCAGTGGTTTCTATGAGGCTCGGTGGGCGGGAGCAGGCCTGGGAAAGGCCAGGCTCTGGTGCGAGCTACATTTGCTCACAAGTCCCACATCGCCTGGGTGTGGAAGAGTGAAGTGCTATATATAGGTTTAACACCCTTTACACAATGCGTTTTAAAGCCGTGATGGCCGAATCTACCAGCACTCCAAAGTTATGCGTGCTTAACCTAGAGTAGTACGAGGATGGGTGAACTCCTGGGAAGTCTCTAGTTTAGTGGAATTGTGAGGCTTGGTGGGCGAGAGCAGGCTTGTGAGTGGCAATGCTCTGGTGCGAGTTACGTGTGCTCACTAGTCCCACATCGCCCGAGTGTGGAAGAGTGAAGTGTTATACGTAGGTTCAACATCCTTCTATGACACAACGCGTTTTAAAGCCATGGCGACCGTGAACCCACTGGAACTCCAAAGTTAAGCGTACTTAAACTAGAGTAGTACCAGGATGAGTGACCTTCTGGGAAGTCTCTAGTCGGGGGGAGCCAAAAGCGGACAATATTTTGTTTGGGTAGGGCGAGGGTTGTTACAATTTCTTTCTCATCCACCAAGTTCATACCATAAGCTGTTGCCATCCTCCAACCATACATTCTCTAGTACTTGACCACCTCTCACCCCACCTCTCACTGTAAGCACCACTTTCTCAGTATCAACACGGAAATCGGCATCAACATTCTCCTCACTGATGGTCCGAAATAGAGATTGGCACCATAAGTGTAATGGCAACCCGTAAAGAAGAATCCCGTGTTCCTTCTGCTTTTTCAAAAGGCCAGAGCATCTTGCTTGAAAAGCCTACACAACCAGTTGTAGGAAAGCTTCTTGCCATGATGGGAATCCGAACAGAAGCAGAGAATCTGGCAGTGGTGAGACCCCAACTCCACCGGTCATCTTCCAAGCCTTCTCTGCCCACTGTGCTATCTGGTTTGGGCTCCCTAACTCCTTGTAAAATTTTCCCACCAAGCGGCTTTGCAAAAACTCCTTGCGATTCACTATTCCTCGATCATCTACTATAAATCACGGGCCTCTCATTGCCGGTATCACTGTGGTATCTCTTTTAAAAGGGAGGCGATGTAACCTTTCCACTACCAAGTACGATCTGGGTCTTCCCCCTTCGCTTGACAGAATCCCTCTCGTCACCAGGCTCCCCTCCATTGTCAGTGCACCAATTGACCCTCTCACTTCTTCTCTAATTCTTAGAAAAAAAGTATAAAATTTACCCCCTTTTTTTGTTTTTTTGTTGGGATAGGTGTAAGAAAATAACTTTGTTATCAAAAAACAGACACTCAAATTTTTTTTGATTTGTTGCAGGGACGGTCCGAGTCCTGCCGCTAGAGAATTTTCTTTCCCCTAATTACATGCTAGAAGCAGTTCCATATATAATTTTTCCAGTGAATGCTCCATTGCACCAATTTCTCACAAATATCTAATTTTTCTGTCTGTACAGTTCTTGATACTGCAGCAGGAGTTTGGTGTGATACAAAATCTGTTGTTACAAGTCCCAGGACAGGTAGATACAGTGCTGACGCTGCTGGTGGAGATGCTGCAGTTGAACTGACTAGGCGCTGTAGGCATGCAGCTGCTGCTGTTGGTGACTTGATCTTTATCTATGGCGGTCTACGTGGAGGTAAGACATCCATACTGTAACAATTCCATTGTTTCTACCTAAGGCTGTAGCTTAGTGATATTTCCTCTCCTTTCAAAGTAGAAGGTTGAGGGTTCTAGTCCCCATTGGGCAATGTGGGTGTGTGAGTTTCTCTTGCTAAGATAAAAGATAAAAAATAAAAATAAAAATAAATTTATCTGTGCATTTTGTATCTAGTATTAAATTGTAAGCTGGCAACTACCCGGTAGCCTCTTGCATTAATTTTGTTTCCGATGATGAGCATTCGATTCCTCTTATCCTGATTCTCATGTGGTGAACTGAACGTTTCTAATTGCATGCATAATTACTAAAGTATTGGCAGATTAGCTAATTTCATATTGAAAGGGGATTATTGACAATGCACAATTGATTGTTCTTAGTTTTCCTGATTACGATATATTAAATTTTCTTATTCGTTTTTGCATTATTCGATCATTTATTCAATTAACAAAAATTCATGAGAAGAGCATAAAATGTAATAACTATTTCATAGGTACACTTAATTATCTTTGCATTAAAAATTTCACAGAATGGAATACCGTGGAAACTAGAAAGCATCAAATTCCTTTGGAAAATTTAAGGTTCCCCTATTTGCTAATTTTGTAAAGGAGTTCTAAAAGAAATGATTTGACATTGTAATGAATATTCAAATAATGCGAATCAGGTGATGAAATTGACAGAGGCGGGCTTCATTTGATATGTGGAGAATTGGTAGAAAGGGATTTGAGTTCTCACCTTGAAAGAGGACATTACTTTGAACAGTCTAGTTTGGAAGGAATGAGATATCGCTATACCCACGTTAAGACACTTAGGATTTGTAGCAACTAATGATTGAGGACCAAGATTGTAGGATCTGGTAATAGTGTAGTTCTTATATATGTATACACACACACACACACATAACAGCATACTTCAGATTTTCGTTTGTAATTGAGTTTCATTAAACTGGAATTGGAGACTTGGAAGCACAGCAACAAGCTAAATTATTTTGCAGAAGATTGTTGACCGTAAGGAAGCATTTGGAATCCCCAGTCATTATTTGTTTAGAAGTGACTGACTTGGAAATTGATTTTTATTAGTTTATTAGATGCCGGTGTTCTGTTCCCCTTTATAAGACAACAATCTAGACCTGAACAGAAGACATCGATGCATAACAAATATTTGAGGGCACATCTACCAGATTATTTGCCTATGTTGACTTTTTGTAAAAGCAATTTTGTCTGTGGATCTTTTAAAGTAGTGGACTCAATGCTGTGAGTGTGATCGAAAAGTGAGTAGTTCCCTTCTAATATTTTTTATTTTGGAAGCTTTTTAGTTAAAGTTGGTAATTTATATTGAAGTACTGCCATGCACTTGCAAGGAAGCAGGTGTTAAAGATCTCCTTTTAAGGAAAAACCAACTAGGGAACACATGCTTTGGTTTAAGTTTTGGGAGTGTCCAAAAATTCTTATGATTTCATTTTAATTTATCAGTATGTAATCGCGGAAACTCTGAGAAAATATGGTACTCGGTAGGATTTTGATGCAGTGAATTTCCAAATAAGGCTTGGATGTATGTCTATGTCCTGTTTTTGCTAACTTGTTCAAAAGGATCATAAAATAATAATAATAATAACAATTGTTATTATTTTATGATCCTTTTGAACAAGTTAGCAAAAATTATTATTATTATTATTTTATGATCCTTTTGAACAAGTTAGCAAAAATTATTATTATTATTATTATTTTGCTTGAATGGAGAACTAATATGATATTAAAAAACTAATGGGCCACTCTTGGATCATGTTGGTATGCTTATAAGCCAGAGTTTGAATATGGCGTTTTTGTGCTGTAGGGGTGTTGCTTGATGACCTACTAGTTGCTGAAGATCTGGCTGCTGCTGAAACGACAAGTGCAGCTTCGCATGCTGCAGCTGCAGCTGCTTCATCCAATTTACAGGCAGGGAGATTACCTGGAAGGTATGGTGGGTTTGTTGATGAAAGAACAAGGCAAACAATTCCCGAAACAGCCCCTGATGGCGCAGTTGTGTTGGGAAGTCCCGTTGCACCCCCAATAAATGGTGACATGTATACTGATATAAGCACCGAGAATGCCATGCTCCAGGGTTCCCGGTAAACTAGTTACTGATTAATTAATTTGCATTATGCATAGATTTTGTGGTCATACTTCTTTCGCTTCCTAGTTCTTTAATAGAGGTATGAAATATGGTTTGTTCTACAGAAGACTGAGCAAAGGTGTGGAGTACTTGGTCGAGGCATCGGCAGCAGAAGCTGAGGCTATTAGTGCAACATTGGCTGCTGCCAAAGCACGACAAGTTAATGGAGAAGTTGAACTGCCAGACAGGGATCGTGGTGCAGAGGCTACCCCTAGTGGGAAACAGATATCTACTTTGATTAAGCCTGATTCTGCCGTCTCAAATAACTCTGCTCCTGCTGGAGTTCGGCTGCATCATAGGGCTGTCAGTATCATAATTTCATTTCCATCTTGAATGTTATATATCAAGTCAATTTTGCATCAAGATGCTTATCTTTAATTGATTGTGTTTCTGAAGGTGCATTCTTTTATGCATTCACAGGTGGTTGTAGCTGCAGAGACTGGTGGAGCATTAGGCGGCATGGTCCGACAGCTTTCAATCGATCAATTTGAAAATGAAGGAAGGCGAGTCAGCTATGGAACCCCAGAGAATGCAACAGCTGCAAGGAAGCTTTTAGATCGACAAATGTCTATCAATAGTGTACCCAAAAAGGTATCAAGGGTTATATTTCATGCATGTTGGAATAGCAAATTATTTTGGTTTGGAAATCTAAGCGGTTGCATTTCTGAATAATTCATAATGGAAGATTATTGACACATGACATGCAAAAAATAAAGTTTAGATTGGTTGAGTTGCTTTTCTATTTGATTTGCTGTATTGGATACCTGTGTACCACTACAAAATCTTATTGAATGGTTGCAGATACTTATAGCACAAGCATGTGCTCTAGATTAGAATTTAGATGATTCCTTCCGGTGCCCTTATTTTGTCTCTTTTTTTCTTATACCTTTTAAATATAATTTTTACCAGGAGTATATGAGAGGAATAATATGCTTCCTTTTGGCATATGGCAATAATCAACAAGTGCATTTCTAAATTTCACTACATCTACCATTCAACTTTTTTGTGATTTGTTTACTCGCAAGGTTTTGTACTTGTGCAATATGCTATATAATGTTTTGGGGTTTTCTTGTTTTGCCTTGTGGGTTATGCTTTGGCTATTAGATTCTGTCAGCTGTATTTTCTCTTTTCTGATTAAATTTCTCTAGCCTATCTTTTATAATGTAGCTGATCTTTCCTTGTTTTTTTATTTCCTTTTTCATTATTCAGGTAATAGCTCATCTTCTGAAACCGCGTGGTTGGAAACCTCCTGTTAGACGACAATTTTTCTTGGATTGCAATGAAATAGCAGATCTTTGTGATAGTGCTGAAAGGATATTTTCAAGCGAGCCTAGTGTCCTACAGCTCAGGGCTCCTATCAAGATATTTGGTGATTTGCATGGGCAATTTGGTGATCTTATGCGACTTTTTGATGAGTATGGGTCCCCTTCAACTGCTGGGGACATAGCGTAAGTGTTTTCACTGATACATTGCCTTTTCACATTTCACATTCGAGTCCATTTAATTAGATGTTGACTGTCAAGGCCTACATCATTCCCTAATTTATCTTTTGTATGTGTGTGAATTTTTTATGTCCTATTTTATTATTATATATTTTCAGAAATTTGGTCCTTGATCATACTTAATGCTCTTATACATTGTTTAAACTATAGTCTTAAACTTGATATGCTTGTGTAAAATTTGGTTTTGGCTAATGAGCACTAATAAAAACAATCCAGATAACACAAAAAAAAAAAGTTTAGTGGATATAATTTATATAAATCATTCAGTGAAACTGTGAAATTGTCGGGAGGTATACTTATTAACATATTATATGAGTAATGTTCATTACATGTGCTATAATATTGGCTATTAACAATGCTCCGTCTGGTCTGGATATTAAATATTTAGTATTGTTTATTATTCTCAAACTTAAGAAAATGATATATTAAAGGGTCTGTACCTAGTGCTAGCCCCGCCTATTTAGGATGCTCAAAGGAAATACAGGAGGCAACACATTGGTTTTGCATGGAGTGGTTGCTTTCATACTTGAACTCCCCTTATCACGCTTATCAGCTTGAGTTTCTACCATTGTACTATGCAATGACCCCTAATTCAAATAACCCAATAATGTTGTCCCAAACACCTTGGGCTCGGCCATGTGAACATGTTTCAGTCAGCCATAATTGCAATTCAATTGTAAATCATCCAGACTTACCTATGTATCTCAACTCTGGTCAATTTGGTGAACATGGTAAAATGATCTCATTCAGTTTTCTTATTTATTTATTATTTATTATTTATTTTTATCTCCCATCGATGGTTCTTCCAAACTGTAATGTATGTTTTCGTCTCTAATGCTTCCATTTTTCACCTAGCCGACAATTGATTTCAACATACTTGATTCTGTGTGCAATTTATTTAAATATTTTTCGGGTAAACTTTATTTAGAACCCCTGTACTTTGTCTATACGTCAGTTAGACCCCTCCAAGTTTGCAATTCTTCAGTCAGACCCGTCAGACATTGTCGGCTGACGGTGTCAAGAGAGGGAATGAATGACTAATTTAACCTCACTCATTATTGAAACAGTGAACTTTTTTAAAAAATAATTTTTAAATATTTTGTTGAAATAGAGACACCACATCCTCTAAAACTTCTACATCCATCATATGTATGACCGTCTGTCTCATACACTAAAAACCTCCTTCAAAACCCTTGACAACCAACTCATCACCAATCAATTTACACCAAAACCAGAAACGTGAACACCACATATCGCTCGTTTTCTCTTGCTACCATCAATGCACAATAGTTCAAGCTCCAATTCAAGCTTTCAAAAATCGAAATTTGAACAGTTACGACAACTTCCTCGGTGCTTTCAGAAAACACCTTACTGAAATTTCTTCCGATTTTGCTTTAAAATTTCTGAATTCAGGGTGATACAACTTTCAGAGTTTCAATCGGAGTATAAGAGGCACGATATGGAGTGTGCAGGATGAATTTGGGGACTATGAGACAAGCTTTCGATGGGTGGATGGGATGAGAAGCTTATATTGTTTCTGGTCATGGAATATCTGGCTTGGAGAAAACGAAACCCTTATATATATATATATATATATATATATATATAGGGGGAGAGAGTACTTTTAATTGAAACTTGCCTTGAAGGACTGTTCTGGTCAGAATTCAATAAAAAGTTTTGCGCACTTTGTTATAGAAATATTGAGTCAGTGGGATACATGAGAGAGTGGCACTGAACACCCACAAAACCACCAACCTTTGGCTGGTATCTATTTTATCAAGTTTTTCACAAACTTGTAAATTAAAGTATCAGAAATTTAAAGAAATTTTATTCCAAGTGCTTTGAAGTTAAAAACTAATTGAGAGATTCCTTGTTACATACTTTAATATTTGTGTTCGATGTCCATGATGAGTAAAATCTATCTCACTTAAAATTTTAATCCAATTTAAGTGAAATATTGGTTTGCAAATTGTATTATTAAACACACTTATTTAAATGAATCAGATGCATGGAACATCTTTTAAACTGATTTCAAAGAAATTTCTTTTTAAAAAATGAAGTCAGAGTGGCTATGTATAGAACCAAAAATGAGTGTGGGTGATAATAAGGGGGGAATGTGATAAAATAGAATCTTATATAAAGTGCAGATATGACCTTTGGAAATTGGAAGGGATGAGGGGGAAACTGTTAAATTAATTGGAGGAAATGAGGAGGGAAACAACTAACTGAAATTGGAGGAAATGAGGGGGGCAATCTGGGCATTATGAATAACTTTTTTGATGATGTCAGCAAAAAGTCTCTGACCATCTCTGACCGTTACATGAGGGGGGAAAACTAATTTGTGTCGGAAAAAGCAGGGGGTCTGACTGAAGATATGCAAACCTGGGGGTCCAAGTGTCCAACTGATGTATAGACAAACCAAAGGCGGTCTAAATGAAGTTTACCCATTATTATGTTTTTATAAAGCTTAGCTAGCTGGATTTGTTTCATAAAGCGTTCCTTTCACCTTCTCAAGTATAGGTCAATTGCATGACACTCTAGATACTAGATACACTTCTCTACTTGTATCCATTCTGCCTGCATAAGTTAGGCACATCATTGTTTAAAATTTTCGGCCTTGTGAATGCTCATGTCACACACTGGTTATGACATAAAGGCATGGCCTGCAAAGCTTGCCAGTTTCTTTTGTTTGCACAACCATCAGCCCCATAATCAATAAGGTCCCCCACAAACCGGGGCATAAACTTGTCACACCAAAGAGAAAAAAACACTCCCATAGCTCACACGTCACCTCACAATGGAGAAGAAGGTAGCTAATGGTTTCCCCATCCTTTTTTATACATACAACACCGATCAGGTAATATTTTGATTTTTATTGCTCAAATATCCACGACCAAAATCACTTCCAAGACCAACAAAGGGACTTTAGAGTGCACTATGATCCTTCAAATGCCTCTACAAGAAGAGAAGCCTTGCATATCCACAGAACACTATTAAACAATCTAAAAACAAATCTGAAATGTTTATTGAGTAGTCTTCCTCAAGAAGGCTTACGTGGAGTGGGGGGCTCTAAAATGAACAGTGCTCCTGCACAAACCCTCTTCTCCTTGAATGCGACATAGTTTGCCACTAGGAACATTTTTACTATGGATGTAATCCTCAACAAAACCTAGAATGCTTTCTTCAGGGAACATCCTAAAACAAGCAGAAATTGCACCCACAGCCACTTGGTGAACTCCATCAAGCATTTCCTGATAACTTTCCAAATGCCAAACTCATATAAAGTCGACACCTCTCTAGAGGCTCGCCCTCTATTACCAGCCCCAGACTTCCAATCCAGCACCGTCCTCCAAAAGATACCTGTCTCCACAGCATATCTCCCTTTATACCAGAGTGCAACAGGAAACACCATCTTTTAATTCACATGATATTTCAACTCAAACGTCTCTCTGAAATGTCCCTTTAGTTTATTTCCAGCCTCTCATCCACCGAAGTCAAAATGGGGAAATTTGATCATGAGGCATATAACCAAGATCAATAATTTCTCAATCCATGCCAGACATTTCGAAGTTTGATTACACCACTAGAATAACCTGACTTCAGTCCAGACATTTGTGCGAAAACACATCAAGTCTCAATTTGGAATCCATCCCAAATCTTCTTTTTGCTTGGTATGGTTCTGATAAATTTGTCCCAGGGCTTCCCCTTTCACTTGTAGTTATAGGTTTTTGAGATAGTTTGTGTTATCTGTTAACAGTTCTATTTTCCATGGCATTGCCATAGAATAACATTTTGCTTTTGTTATTTCATGCAATATTTTGTTGCATAAATTTCATGGTACTGTTATTATTATTTTGATAAGTAAAGTATATTAGAAAAAGGTTATTATTCAGATTATTACAATTATGAACAAAATATTCCCACCTTTCTTGTAATGCTAATTATATATAAATGACTATCAGATATATCGATTATCTCTTCTTAGGAGATTATGTTGATCGAGGACAGCACAGCTTGGAAACTATTAGTCTTCTTCTAGCTCTGAAGGTATTATTACTCGACTGATCTATTCTTATTTCTTCCAGAAGGTTAATCATTTTAAAGCTCACTCAAAATTTGTTCTGAAATATGATGGGCTTTCTTTCTGTATAATTAATTTGTGTTATAGGTTGAATACACCCACAATGTACATTTAATTCGTGGGAATCATGAAGCTGCAGATATCAATGCCCTTTTTGGTTTTCGAATAGAGTGCATTGAGCGCATGGTATGATATCATTGGTATGTTAAAATGTTTTATGTTTTTTTCTTTCACCAGTGATAGCTATTGACTTTATGGCATTCTAAACAGGGTGAGAGAGATGGAATCTGGGTATGGCATCGGATAAACAGATTGTTCAACTGGCTTCCTCTGGCAGCTCTAATTGAGAAAAAAATCATTTGCATGCATGGTGGTATTGGAAGGTCAATAAATCATGTGGAACAAATTGAGAATCTACAGCGTCCAATTACGATGGAAGCAGGCTCAATTGTTCTCATGGATTTATTATGGTCAGTGCATGCCCATACTGTTCAGTTTTTATGTTTACCATTAAGTTTTTGTGTTGGATTTGTTAGGTAAATTTTTTTCTGTGAATCTGTTTATAGGTCTGACCCAACGGAAAATGACAGTGTGGAAGGATTACGCCCAAATGCTAGGGGTCCCGGGTTGGTTACTTTTGGGGTGAGTGTTTTTTCTTCTTTGACATTGTTCCAGTTTTTCTCCGGTTTAAGCACAATGTTCTTTGTATGGCGCCCAATAAATTTTTCTTAACATAAGGACATGTGTCATAATTTTTGTGGTCTTGGATAAAACATTTTGAATAAGAAATGAAATGCAAGGTCATAGTGATCAACTGTTGAGGTTTGAAAAGCAGATATCATATACCTACCTTATTGGGTTATAAATTTGGTTGAGTTGGCCTTAAGCCTCCTATTTTCTTGGCCCAAATTTTTAGCTGAGTTATATGCTTCGAAATTTTGTTTGGGTTGATCTGATTCTATGCTGCTTAGCTTAAGCTTTAACGAGAGTACAATGGAGATATACCCTTTCGGGCCTGTTTGGCAACAATTTATGTTTCATATGGGTGCTGTATTGTAGCGAAGTAAAGCATCACAACGCGTTTGGTAACTTTTGTTGCCTTTTGAATAGCATCACATTTGTTGCCGAAAAGAGGCCCAAATCGGAAACAAAAAATTGGTGTTTCCTAATGCTTTCTAATACAATTGTACTCATAAACAAAATTTGTTTTCACACTGTAGCGGGTAACAGTACCCAAAAAAAAAAAAAAAAACTACTATCACCTTTTTTTACTAGCCATTTTGTTTCTCAATCTTGCTACACTTTCTTACCTAACATGTTTTCATGTTTTTTGCTTCTAAAAATCTTGCAACAAATTTTACGTTTCCAAACATGCTTCCAATAGCTATGGAACACACTCCACAACAAAAAAACATTGTTTCTGTTTTGGGTGAAAATAGAAAGGCAAAATGGAAGTGGTTGCCAAACAGATGCTTCGTGAGTAGTTAGAGTTTGCTTCTTCTATTTTTTTTTACTATTTATATACTTCTGAGGAAGACTTTGATAGATTGGTTTCAATTTGAGTAAAGGACTGTTGTCTTCTCTTGGAAAAATGGTTGTGATATTCATTGAAACAAATACTCGAGGATAGAACAGAAAATGGTGGCTAGTTTCTTACAAAATTCGAAAGAAAATAAAAAGAATTAGCCTTTGAATTTGGATTATTGCCTCCTTTCATATCTCTAGCTTCTCTCTCTTATATTATGAATTTATTTTTATTTAATGGACTAAACTATTGGAATATGAGAGGCACCAAAAGAGAGACAGAGATCAACAGATATGTTGACTGGTGACTGATGGGACAGCAGGTTGCAATTGGCTTTGGCAAGGTTGAAAGTGTCAATGAACAGTTGCAAGGGTAGTTCTCCTACTTTCCAATGTGATGAGTCAGCTCTCATCATCAAAGCACATAGGACCATCTTGAATTTTGTCTATGTATCTCTCTCTTTTTTTTTTGGTGGTGAGGTGGAAGAGGGGGGTGGGTGGGTTTAATAGTTAACCGGTAGACAGCATTGATGTGCCTTTGGTCACTAAGTTGACAATGGTTTCGCTGTTGGGTGTGGCATTTTGATGATTTGTACAGTGCAGCATTTTCATGGCTTAAAAATTTACACTGGAGGACTGGTTACTCTTCTATTTTTCGAATTTAATGGAGGTTACCTGGAGATCTTAGAAACTGGTGGTATGTTAATCGAAGCATGGTGTAATTGTAATATTCTTGTCAAGGTTGGTTCTTCCTGCCAATTCATAAAGGCTTAACACTTAAATACAAAGAAATTTGGTGATGAAATGCTATGACATGGCACCAAGTGAGCTGCCTCGAGACAATCAGACAACATAGGGGCATGCTTGTAACTACTTGGAGTTGGTTACATGATTCCGCTCTAAGGTCATAGTCTCAGCCAAACCATATGTTTTCATATCTTTCCTTCCTAACTCAATCCACATTAGGTTTTATCTTACCCTTCCCCTAGCGTTACCCTCACTGTGGACCATGTCACTCTTCCTAATTTGCGTACTTATAAGGTCTTCTTTGCACATTTGTAAACCATCTTAACCGATTTTCTTTTATTTTATCTCTAATTAGTGCTATTTCATCCATCTAACGAATGTGTTCATTTCAAATTCCATCATTTCTTGTGTTAATGCACATCTATCTCAACTTTTACATTTCTTCCAGCACTCACTTTATGCATATGTTGTTTTCAAACTGTTCAAACATTATGTCCCATAAAGCACGGTTCGTCTAATAGTTGTCTATAGAAATTCCCTTTCGATCATAACGGGTTAAACTGGTCACTTAATATACCAGACACAATCCTCCATTTAACATGTTCTGTCTTGATCATATGATTAACATCATCGCCAATTTCTCCTTCATTATGGATAATTGAGCCTAAATAAAAACCATCCTTTATTTGTAACTCTTAAATCTTAATCCTCAATCTTCACTGCATCCTCATTCAATTTTACTGTTGTTCCTAGATTTACTATTGTTACACGTGATATATTCAATTTTATTCCTACTTATCCTAAAATCTTATAGTTCTAAAGCTTCACTCCATGGGAGCATGCTTGTAGCATCCATAATTGGCATCCAAGTGTCGATCTGCATTAGGGAATCCCATACAATCTCCATCAGTGCATGCATTTACAAAGAAGCAGTTGTCCAGAAGTTGTTCTCTTCTTCATCCGTCCAACTTTAACTCTCTCTAGGGTTTATATCAATTTCTCTATCCCTTATTTCCTAAAAAGAAAAAGAAAAGGAAAAAAAGATTATCTTATAAACAGGCCTGTAGTTGTCTGGTATTGTGTTTCCTCATTTCTCCTTACCCTCTCCAAGATGTTTCATCATCTTTTTCCTAGATTCTTCTCCACTTGTCCTTAGTGTTGTCAAAGGCACGCCTAGGCTCCAGGTTCATACAGGTGCAACACCGGTGCCTGTTGTGTGCCCAGGCGCGCCTTTGACAACAGTTGCGCCTTTAATATGAAATATGAATATGCTTTAATAGTAATTTAATTTTTCAATTGTGCGCCTCACTTCACTTAGGCGTGCGCCTAGGCTCCAAAGGACCTCTAGCGCCTTGGGCTTTTTATGACACTGCTCGCCCTAATGGTTCTATGTTGCTTCCTTTGTGCCAAGTGCTCTTTCAACTCTGTGGTACCACCCCAATTGTTCTCTGAGCAACCTTCTGTTTTTACCCCTTAACTGGTGTATTAAATTTCCAATTGATATCATACTCATTCAGCTGCTGCTACCATCCTCTCCTAGTTGATGCACATTTTAAAATTAAATATGTTCAGATAGTTGGACAACTAAATTGTTCTTTTCTTATGTTTTTCTGCTCTTTTTTCTTTTTCTTTATGCCTTGCTTTATTGCTTTTGTCAGAGTCTGCTTGACTGCCTAGCTATTAGTTGTTCACCATGAATACTTTATGCTAATAATGGGATGCCTGCTTTGAAATTTTCCTTTCAAGCCAACTATGTTGGCAATGAGAGGAGAAACTAATGGGCTTGTGTTTTTTAAATCTCACTTTTATGAACTTGAGCATGCAGTTTCTTTTTCTATCCTCAAAACTAATTAATTAGTTACATTTCATCAATAATATGCTTTCAAGCCTTAAATGAATTAGCATCACCTAAAGCCCATTACACAAGCAAGTTGCGTCTCTCTTCTAGTCATCTTTTACCCAATTTTGAACACATATAAATGTATGCCTCAGTCTTTCTGATCTCTTTGTTATCTTCCTATTCTCTGGCTCTTCTATGTAATTTTTTTCTTTTTAATTTTAATTTTTTGGCAAAACATGAGTCACATAAGTCAACCCAACTCCTAGAGGTTTGTTGATTTAAATTGTATCTCACTTCTTTCTAGCTTCAATGTAGCCTTTCTTGTGCCAACTATAATATGAACTACATAAATCAACCACAAACATCTATAAATGATGGTAATTTATTTGGTTCCTCTGCAGATCTCTACAGCATCACTCCCAATACAATTAACCTTGGCATTGCACGTAATTGGTTTTTGCACGAATTCCAAGGAAAATTAAGTTGCTATAAATATGTCGGCCACAACATTCTTAGCTACTACCTTTTGTAGTATGTTGTGTGCATCATCAGCTCATGTGGCACCAATACTTGTGTGGCATTGATATTGAAGGGTTTGCCTGCCTTGGTGAAAAAATAAGAATCAAAGAATTTTGTAAACCTCTATCTATTATTAATTGGACCAGCAGTTGATTTACTACCTGTGTGGATCATCACAAGGAATTTGTAAACTAATGGGAAGTTGTTTTGCTTCGTTATGTTCACCAACCTTGAGAATGATTAAAGTTTCATCTTACAAGGCTGGCTTGGTGATAGGTCAATGTTTGTTCTATCATATGTAACCTAGTCCAACCCTCCCATGAGGCCAACACTTGTACAGCTTGTTACTGTTGATCAAATTTATCTTGCTTTCATTTTGTCTGGAGTGTTGTTATGTTTCTAGAAGCAAATTCTATTTACGCAGGTAGTTTCTTTATCAGTTGTAAGTTGAAGCTTATGTAACATTATATTCTTGTGCAGCCTGATCGCGTGATGGAATTCTGCAACAACAATGATCTTCAATTGATTGTACGTGCTCATGAATGTGTGATGGACGGTTTTGAGCGTTTTGCGCAGGGACATTTAATTACTCTTTTCTCAGCCACCAACTATTGTGGTATGTTTCTAGCCTCTACTTATTTATATAGTTTCGTAGCTTCACTGGTGGCTTAGCATTTCAAGCATGGTTTTTTCCTTTCTGTAGGTACTGCAAATAATGCAGGTGCAATATTAGTTTTGGGTAGAGATCTTGTAGTTGTTCCAAAACTCATTCATCCATTGCCACCGGCAAGTTCATCGCCAGAAGCATCACCCGAACGCCATATAGAAGATACATGGATGCAGGTGCTGCCTTAATCATTTTTGTCTTACTTTGGGTTGGGTTTCTTCTTGTTCCTTCTATGCACATTGTTCTGCTATTGATCTTGTACTGTTTTCTATGGTATTAGGAGCTTAATGCAAACAGACCACCAACGCCAACTAGAGGTCGTCCTCAAGTTGCTAACGATCGAGGTTCTCTTGCTTGGATTTAGTAGCTCTCAGATTCTTTCATATATACTCTTACCAGGCTCATGCTACTACCACCTGGGATTTCTGGTATTTCTGTACATAGCATGATGCCGTGTGAAGGATTTCCTGAACTTCATGTTGGAGTTTTGGAGGCATTTGAGAGCATTCGTCAAATGATTGGTAGGCCTTCAGACGATGAAGATTCGAGTTCAAGGCCAAGTTGCAGGCGGTGGGTAGGTTTACTGTATCCGCTGTGCCAAACGCAGTTCGGGTTCTCCAAATATTGCACTTTGTACATTGAGCCACATGCAGTTAGAACTTCCCTTGCTTGTTTTTGTCTTTTGATGAGTGGTGCCGGGTATTTTCTCACTAGTTCTTACACATTTTTTATTCCTTGTTAAGTTTTAAATTTTTCCCCTTTAGTTTTTTTTCACTTAAATCGAGGGCTTGAGGTCCTTATATTTATTTGATCGGTGAGATATGTAATATGTTAAAATCTTCTTGGTTCATGTATCATAAAAAGGCATTGCTTTGTGTACTTGGTGTTTCTGCTTTGTATAATGTAACGTTTTTGTGTGAAGATGAACTTTTTGGCCTCTCAACCAAAAATATGGGAGGATATGTTTCTTTTTAAATATTTGTTTTAGCTAAACTAGTAAAAAACTTTATTATTATTATTATTATTATTATTAAACCATGTACTTCTCAAAAAAAAAAATTATTATTATTAAACCATGGTTCTATATATAATTTTTATGTTTGTGTGCAACTAGAACTTTTTTTTTTTTTATTTACCTTGGCTATAAGAGAACAGTCATACGATATCTACACAAAACAACCATAAATACAGATGCAACAAAGGCAAGCCATAAAAGGGTAAACAAATCCTGAAGCCAAAAAAAGAAAAATAAAGACAAATAACGGAAATCACCAAGTGAGATGAGCAGCAGGAGTGACACAAAATGTTAGGTCATCATCAAGGTAACAATTCCAAAGCAGCATTCACAAGGCGCCTTCAACGAGTGGAAAAACAACCCAAACCCTACACAAGTTGGGGACCACAAAAACCGACATAGATTTGAGATTTAGCTGGGGACAACAAAAACCTACATAGATCTTAGATCTAGCTGGGGAAAGAACAACAGATCCACCCAGTCTAGGCGGAAACAAGCCAAACAAAATCAGATCTTGCAAAACAAAAGCAAAAAGGGCGTGAAAACCATCCACAAGCGTAGTTATTATTACACGTCGATTTTATTTAGCCTGTGGGAGGCAAGAAACATCACCTCCTCACTCCCATGGAAGGGAGCAGGGAGAAAACCAGATGGGGAAGACGAAATGGGAGGTGGCCGAAAGGGTGGGTCGGTGGAGGTTTCTAGAGAGGCAAGAAATTACAAAGAAGCCCTAAAGCCTAGTCACATTTTTTGTGCAACTAAAACTCAGTAGCATGCAATTTGTATTCCGAGGATTCAATGTGATACTATGACCATGGTTCTTGTAGACTAATGCCACTTCTTCACCTCTAGAGGGCTCAACCCCTGTAGGGGTTGTTTTTGTTGCCATTTTTCTTTTTTTCTTTTTTTAATAAATAAAAAAACATGGTAAAAAAATGATTTTAGTAAATGATCAGGAGATGTTAGTGACACTGGGATGGTAACGTGGTGGAGTTAAATAAATTTTACTCCATCCTATTAGAAAATCTGTCAAACCAACTCCGTCCCTACTTTGGTATACCATTCCTGTCTCTACTCTAGCAAACAAGGTACCGACTCCGCTATTCCGTTTAATTGGGAAGGCGGGTTATGTTATTTTTATTATTTAGTAAAAAAAAAACTAGCCCAATGTACTCAAATTGGGTTGATAAATAAGTTGGCCCGACTTTTAAATTATTAAGTAGTGAATATTAATATATTAACCAACTAGCAAAGTAAAGTGTATTAAAAATATTAAATATTATATATATATATAATTTTTAAAGGTACATATATAATCGGGGAGGGGGCGAGACGGGTTTATCACTAAATCCGTCTCGGTTCCAAACTCACTTCGGGTTTTTAATTATTTTACCATATCAGTCTCAAACCCATTTAAGGGGCTACCAAATCCACCCCATTAGGGACAGAGCGGGACAAAAACCCGCCGGGTCGGAGGAAATTGCCATCCCCTAGTGACAATACCCCCAAGAAGCTTAGCAAACTCTTGAAAAAGCAAAAACTAACAATCGAGGCAAATCTAGCTCTGAGACGAACTAGGACATGAGTAAAGTCTATCAATGTAATTTCATAACTAGTTGGCGCGTACAAATAATAAGAACGTGAGAATACAACCTCCCGGATCGCACTACTACATCGTTAATTACTCAGATCAAGAAGTTGCCGTCTTCTACTAGATGAGGACAAGCATAAAAATCCCCATTTTGTGTCTCAACATGTGATAGGTTTTGATGAAATGCTACGTGCAAACTCACAGTTACAGCCATAACCATACAATTTTTAAACTAAAGTAATAAGAATTATTATTTTTCAACTAAAGCAGTAAGATTTTTTTCACTTGAGCATGGGTAATTATTGAATATGAGCCAAACTTTGATGTAACTGCTGCTACACTTTACAGTAGTTATTCCAAAGGACAGACAGCAAACATCTGGTCTTCTTACATGGTTTCAGTCCTTTTCTTTGTGCTGTTTGGTGGGACGGAAAAGAAGGGACGGAGCAAGGGAGAGTTTGTAAATTATGTAAACTGAGTTATTACCCCTAATCAAAATTCGTAAAATTATTAAAAGGTAAAAGAATATAAAACACCTTTCCTTGTCAAACAATAGATGCTGCCACCTCCTATTGCCTCCCATTCAACCAAACAGCGGAAGAAAAACACATTCCCTTCCTTAGGGACGGCTCATTCATCCTTCTTACCAACTCATTACTCGTTTTTTTTCTTCCTTTTTACCAAACAAAACATTAGTCTATTCAATGATTTTCTAATTTACCATAGGAATATTATACAAACAGATAAGCTCTTAACATAAAGTATCTGTGTGACCTCTAGAATATTGGATTTTAAGTGCAACTTACTTGGGAGACACTACTTATATCGAACATATGATCTACATTAATTGTCCTATCAAGATTGCAGGGATATAGATTAACTGAACGAGGTTGAAGATACAGTGTTTCAAGCACCTCCGATGGAACAACAAGACTTTGCACAGACGGTCGTAAACTTCCTATCATCCTGCCCTAGATACCTTCATAAACTTCCACCAATTCAATTGTCAATCTGAGCAAATGCCATCAAAGCTCTTATGTGCCGTCTAACCTCGCTTCACAGGCCGTTGAACATAAGATTTATTTGGGTCTTCTGTCTTCAGTTTTGGTGGTCGAATCTCTCCTTTCTTGACCTGCACAGATATAAAGATTTAGTGTTTGAAACATTCAGCCTACTGGCATTCTTTTTCTTCTCTCTTATGAGAAAAGCTATAATGAGGTGCACCTCATTATAACACACGAGCTCTCTATGATTTTCGACCTGAATTACATAAAAATTCACACTTACTTCAAACTTTAATATTCTTTCTTTTGACTACTTTTTTCAAACTGAACTGTCAAATCTGACTAGCTAGAAGAAATTTTTTTTAGGGTAATTCAATATGATTTTTTAATGACAGGATCGTTTAAAATTGAGCAATGTGATGGTATGATGTGTGCACGATTTTCCATACTCAAAATGTTTTAATATAAGGGAGAGCTTATGACAGCTGTCACGAGGTGCACCTCATAACAACCTTGCTGTTCTTTTATTATTCTATATAAGATAACAACTAGTTTAGAAATGATCTCACCTTCTTTCCACCCTTCATAAAATCTCTCCAGCTTGAAACCTGAAAATGAAATAAAGGGACAGTAGTCACTACAAGAACATAATTTAATTTTCCGATAATGTATAAAGATGTAAAACTAATTGCGGCACCATCTAATGTTCCAAGAATAATGGTCATCAGGTTCTCACATGCTAAGATAGGCACCATTATTCCTCCAAAACATGGTATAGGCCAATCAACAATAAAAAGTGGTATGGGGAAATACGAACAATAAGGATCACCTAGAGAGAGAGAGCAACAGACAGATGGCCAGGTGTATATAGTTTTCCTTGTTGTTTAACTGTACATGCGTTTTAAATTCTGAGGGTAGACAAATTGCATGTGTTAGCAAGTAATACCAATGTTCAGGAACATGTAATACCAAACAATCAACTTGTCCTTTCTTAATTATGTTTCAAAAGGTGTAGCAATTAGGTTATGGGATAAAGGCAAAGATGATGATGATTATGATATGAGGTGTAGCATTCAGGGTCTTTTCGCACTCTACCCTTTAAAGTAGGAAGGCTTTTCTTTCTATACAGATAATGCAAAGACATCTAAAATTTAAGGAGTGTTCTCTCTCTCTCTCTCTCTCTCTCTATATATATATATATATATATATATATGCACTTTTTAAAATTAAAAAAATCTACTGTAAGGTACCAAGAAAGGGGAGGCTCCGCATTTCTATTGCGACCCCAGCAATGCAACGTCAGATGGTTCAATCTGTCTCAAGGCTCTTTATGTGTGTAATACTACTTAAACAACCTTATCTGAATGCGTCTCTCTCTATCTGCGCGCACAAAAATGCCTCTTTTAAATATGGGAGCCAAAAAACTTATGCTACATGTACTCCTTCAATATGTGAGGTATAACCAATGAAGACACTAGACAACATAACTATAAAAATGGGAGACATGGCTATATTTTGGCCATTTCTTTATTTCCTAACATTTTGGGGCAAGACAAATCCAAAACCTAGACGCATTTGGAACCAACATGTATTTAAGTCCATATAATATTGAACCAAACATTGACCCCTGTTAGGTCAATAGGACTTATTTATGAATCTGTATTTTTTATTTAGCTTTCGATTAGATTTTTCAAAAGTAAGCTAGAGTTGGTTACCTCTTTGTCCAAGGGCATATTTGGAAGTCAAAGCTACAATCAAGCAATTGATTTCCATGTAGGTTACTGTATCTCTCTTCAATTTTTATTTGTTTTTGCAAATTTCACACATCTTTCTCCCCTTTCTGCTCTTATATATGTATACACATGTTGTATGGTTCGATCTTCATTTTTCTCTGTTTTGGCAAATTTCTCTCATCTCTTTCTCACCTTTACGGCTCTCATATATGTATATACATATTGTTGTAAACGAGCAATCAAGCCAGGCTCGATTACGTTCAAACATTATCAAACCGAGCTCGATCATTTCTTGGAAGAGCTCGGTCAAACACGAGCCGAGCTCGGACACTCCCTTGTGTTTGCCAAGCCGAGCCCGAACACTCCAAAGCTCGGCTCGGCTCGGCTCGCTTACAGCCCTACAAGCTATATTCAATTACCCTGAGCATACATACAGCATATAGAGCAGAGTTTGAGTGCATTCCAGCAATTCCTTGCTAGAGCTTTCTTTATTTCATATTCATCACTGCATATAATATGGTGAGTATGCATCTTATAAAAAATAAATAAATAAATAACAAAAAAAGAGTATGAACTCGAGGTGTTGATCATAAATTGTGATGTGTTAATGGATAATTCAACACCAAACTGTTTCTACACAACGAACGTAAAGCTCGGACGACTAGCCGTAAAGATCAAAGTACTTGTGAAAAAGTGAATCAAGTGAAGAGCGGATATGTTGACCGAACAACAGTTTGGGGACTAGAGTGAAAAGTTCAGCATAAGTCTTCATTTGTGTTAATCAGGTCACAAACTCTTCTTTACTCTGATATTTTAGCCTTTAAGGCTACTTCTAAAACCTTACGTTTTCAACTCCATAAGCCTTTTCTTTGTACCCAATTGCCTATAAGTGCTGATATATACCCAACATTTGCTTTGGTGGTGTTTGGCATAATATATTGGGTGTCTTATGGTTCCACAGTAGACATGATTGACACTTGGAGAGGGTGTACAGTGGAGACTCGAGCCAGAGATGCTTGGAGGGCCGCTCCCCTTTGTATTTGATGGGGGTTGTGGTGGTGTGAGAGAAATAAGAGATCCTTTGATGGAGAGGAGACAACTATTTGGTCTCTCAACTACACAATTCTGTGTTCTTTATTCTTTTGGGTAAATGGGCGAAATTGTAAATCAACCCCTTGTTCCACTTGGCTCAACCATCCACATCTACCTCAAACTGCTTATTATATAAACTGATGAAGAAAATAAAATTTTCATCTATACATACAAAAATGTTAAGAAAATAAATTTTCATCTGAATGCATGGAATAAGAATTTCATCATTTCTAAAAGAATGAAGGAAAATAGAACTCTTTTAATTTCTCATCAACATTTCATGTTAATACAACTCATTAAATTTGCGATTGAGAGTTCATGTTCTCTATAAAAAAAATTTCTGTCTTTATTGAGAGGTTAAACTAACCAGCAATAATAGTTAACTTAAAATGCCCTTCCTTTGGTCTGGCCTAAAAGTCAGTTTGAAAAAATTAACAAAAAGTGATTTCTTGTAACTGTAAGAAAAAGTTATTTTTTGGAGATTCACCTTGGCAAGTGCTGTTAACCTCTTCAATGTTAAATTTCAATTTCAGGCAGTACTTTCGTATGAAACAAGAAGAGCAACCAAACCATCAAATAATAAGTTGGCTCTGGAATGGGAACCGACCTTTTTTTATTTAATTTTTTTTTATAAGTAAGTTTCATTAAAAAAACGTCAAGAGGGAAGCGCTCCCAAAGGAATACACGAGACGCCAAAGGACTAAAAAATTCTAAAAAAGAATCAAAAGCTCTAAAGATGATACAGCCCACACCTAACATGCGGCCCAAATCTTGGAGCAAAGGTTATTGAACATGTATGCGCAAGTATTAAATCATAAGAAATGATATCAGAAGGCAACAGCATATGAAAACAAACCCTTTGTTCTCTTGTCCCTTCCCACTGCTCCTCATGTTCACGCTTTCTTTTCAATACTTCCTTTGCTTCTTCCTCATCCTTCTTCAATCTACCTTCCTCTTCTGATATCTACAAAAAAAAAATTAATAATTAAAAAAAAAAATTAATAAAAAAAAAAATAGATGCTTCATGAAGTTGAAACACTAAAAGGGAAACAGCAGAAGAAAATGAAAAGGGTAAGCTTCCAGTGTACCCTCATCTGCATTTTTCTCCTCCGCCATTCGTGTTCTGTTAATAGTTCTCGAACCTTCAATTTTAGCTGCTGCTGAAACTCATCTGATCGTTCAAATTCTTGTTCATATTTTCCCTGAATAAAAGTTCAGAGGGAATATAAGTTAACAAGTTGTTTGACTCACCCTCAAAAGTGTTGCTTTAAGGAATATTAACATCGATACAAGATACAATAAAAGATGCAAATTTGAGATCAATCATGACAAGTGGCCCATAAGGTGATTCTTATTTCTCACTTGATTTTATATGGCACAAGAAAAGATCTAATTGAGCAAAATGGTTGATGTCATTCAAGAGACCACTCCAGTAAGTTCAATATTTTTTCAATTTTAAAGAAAGCTGCAGCAAAAAATTTCAGTTCTCCAACGCCTTGAATCTTCCGATATTACAAGCAACAATCAGACTGTAGAAAACAAAAGATCAATGGCTGCTTGGTCCAACTCTTTGAAAACAACTTTCAAAACGCTGAGACGAGAACAGTTTTCAGATAACTAAAAACAACTGTTATTTGAAAACAAAGTCTTTTCTGGTTCTAATTAAAGGAAAATACGACGTATAAGAATAAGTATCACTTGCCAAGATAACCACGGTATGTGAGATAGAGAAACCGCTCAAATTTAGCCACAAATACACATAAATATGTGGGCGCTACATCAAATTTATACACTTCTTAATTGTTTTTTTTTTTTGATAAGAACACTTCTTAATTGTTATGTACTTGAGTTTCTGCATACCGTATATCGGAAGAGCTATCAGTGTAAAAAAAAGTGCTAATTTTTTATATATGTGTCATGATGAAAAGGCACAGTGCGTTTTCAGAACATTTTTCAAGCAACTAAGGGGAGCACGTATGCAAGTGTTTGAAAGCCGTAACAGCTCCTGGTCAATTCCCAACAGAAGAACTCGTATAATTTAGAGAAACCCTGTTTCATTCATGAAGCAACAATACAGATTTCCTTCAATGGGAAGCAACATTCCAACTATTTTTTCTTATCAAAAGTTTTTTTTCACCTTCAAAGAACACTCAGATGATTCACAAAAATACTTATAAATCCAATTAATCATCAAAATATCATTACTAAGCAAAGATCAAGCTATATTAATGAACATATGAAAAACGGATCAAGAACACATATGACAGCGGAACTTCACAGTACCTCATCAACTAATGACTTTATCTTAGAAGCAGTGTCTTTCTTCAGCTGCTTTTTCCTCTTTGCTCGAAGTTCTTCTGCAGTTCATATTTAACAATTATGAGCCTTTTTTGCCATTGGCATCATCCAACAGAGAGAAATAAAAATAGCAAAAGAACTGCTGAGAAATTAGATACAGTGCACATTTACAACAGAAGATACAAAAACTACCAATCTATCCTGTCAATTGAAGTTTAAGTGACCAGGACTTTTAGTTGATGTTTTCAACAAGGAAAACCATTTCAACACTTCTAATTATTGACACAAATTTGGCAAAGGCAGTAACTACTCTCACACTTTAACAGTAACAGATTTCTAGTCTATAACTCAATTATGATATATCTACACCAAAAAGGAAAGAAAAGAGTCGATAAAGAAAAGAAGAAACACAAATGCAAGTCAAACGTATCAACAAAAAATTTCAAATAATGACATGTAAGTTGTAACCAACAAAAGAAATCCAACAACAATTACAGGTAAAAAATTATGCAAATAATAAATGATGTCATAGAAAGTGTCTTGAAGAAGTCAAAGTCATTGTTGCTTATGAGTGCAAAGTAGTAATTAAGCTTTAGAAATACTAAGTGATTACTTAGGAAGGTGAAAAAAGTTGATGCTGAATTGAGATTCAAAATCTGTCTAGGGAAGATTAGAAGTCATTATTGGCTGTATTAAAAATAATACTCCAATAAACCCTTTTCTCTGCAGTCAAAAAGTCTTAATCAACATAATTTTGAGATATTTTTAATTCATAAACAATTCTTAAGGCTATCCCAGATTTTCCATTAATATTAGATTAATTCTAATATTTCTTACTGCTTTAAGTGGACCTCTTTATTTCAATTTGTTGCGAAGTGTTATTTCACTCTCTGTTAGCTGCAAGTGGTATCAGAGCCTCTCATATCTATGATTATTGCGGATCTATTGGAATGTAGGGAAGCAAGATAGCTACAAGAGAAGACTTTGAGAATCTGTAACATCAAATTTCTCAACTGAAAACTATATTAGAACAATCTGGAATAATTTCTCCTCTTAATCTGGCCACTAGAAAAAAAACGAGGCCAGCAAATAACTGCATATCAATGTGAAAAATGGATGAAGCAGTCTCCTAGAGAAAGAAGATTTCAGCAGCATACGCAATGGTGAACCATACCATAGAGACTGGATTTTGTTCCTACACACAGCACACGGGGAGTTGGGAGTCCATTTTAGATGGCCGCATTATCAATGCAAAATAACTCTTGATTAAGGAAGATGTTGGAAATTATATTCATTTTGTAGATGCAAGATCAAATTTTGATGTATTCTTTGGATGGGCAGATGAAGAAGATGACAAATCTGGGGTGCATTCAACCTCCTGAGTTCCAAAATTTGACAACAATGAAGAGGAGCCTGAAGGAGAAATTTCTATATTAAAATTTTGTTCCTGATTTACACTAGGATAGAATAAATTCAAATGATGGAATTGAATCAAAAGATGAAACAATTAAAGTACAATCAGGCTATAGTAAATGAGAGATTGGAGAGGACAAAGGAGCAAGGAAGGCTAAAAAGGAGAAATCTATGGAAGTAGTCAGCATCAACTTGTCTAAAGTTTGAAAATTTTGTCTCTGTTCAATCTGAGTATAGTGGATTTGAGAGTAAAAATGATAAGTCTAATTAAATGGAGTCTTGTAAACGTCACTCAAAATCTGGTAGATGCAATATCTGGTTTCCAAGTTGTGGAACCATCAAAGCAAATATTAGCTAACAAACAAGTAGGTGGAAAATTGATATAAGATCACTGAATTTCTAGGGTTAGCAATGCACTTGGCAATACATTAATTTTTTTAGGTTAAAGAAGTTGGTTGGCAATGGACTTTGTTCATTCACGGAGTTGACAAATTATGAATTCCATATTTGTGATCTGATTTGAGATGGATGCTTAGAGCAAGATACAACTAGGAGTTGTATCAATGCAAAAATCAAGTTAATTCAGGTCTTTGCTTAAGATATGTGTTCAAGTGAGTTTTTGTAATCTAATAAGTTCAAGGGAGAGCTCAAGAAGTTCATACAAAGGTGTTCTTTGTTGGTGAAAAAAGACAATTGCGTTTTGTTTGAGTACTGAGAAAAGGAGAAAGAAAGGATGGAAGGTCAGGTTGGATTGAGTTAAATTTGTTCCAAACTCAAAGGTGAGTTTCTTCAAAGCGGAGGGATTAATGCAAATAATTAACGATGTCATAGAAAGTGTACTGAAGAAGTCAAAAAGTCATTCTTCTTTTTAAGTAAAAAGTAGAAATAAGATTTGGAATTACTCAGTGGTTACTTAGAGAAGTAAAAAAGTATTATTAATGCTAAATGGGGATTCTAAAGTAAATCTGGGCAAGACAGTTTGAGATATTATCTGTTTATAAACAAATTTTCAGGCTTTTCCAGATTTTCCTTTAGAAATCTAGGCTCCGATGGTTATTGGAATAATTCTAGGGTTTCTTATTGCTGCAAGTGGAATTCTTTATTTCTATTTGCTGCAAAAAATGAAGATAAACAAATAGCCACTTAGTGAAGATAGATCCATTGAACAAGATATTAATTTTTCAGCACAAACCTTTTCCTGCATTAATTTGGCTAAGAAGATATTCTCTTTCTTGAGGATCAAGTAATAGTTGTTGTGCTTTTGCCAATGCTGCACAAAAGAATATATTGTTAATGAACCGAGTCATAAACTAATAAAAAAAAGTAAAAAAACGAGAAAGACAAAGATTCAAAATATTTCTTTGTACTCCATATATCCATTACCTACCATAAAAATGGAAGCTTGTGCATTCTATCATTCTACTTTTACCCTTCCAATATGGTCTTGGTGATTACATTAAAGTCCCCCTATATAAAAGGTCACAACCAAAGTGTGATCCCCATTAATAAAAGGGCATTGGGAGGGTTGGGCAGGGTATAGAATTAAATCTTTGGCATTATTTGCGAAAAATGGTTGTCCAAGAACTTGAACCTGCATGGCAATCCAATCTTTACCACTTCACCAAGTAATGACCCCAATAAATACCCATAAAATGGAAGCTTGTGCATTCTAACATTCTAACTTTACCCTTCCCATATGGTCTTGGTGATTACATTAAAGTCCCCCTATATAAAAGGTCACAACCAAAGTGTGGTCCCTGTTAATAGGATATTGGAAGGGTTGGGCAGGATATAGACTTAATCTTTGGCATAATTTGCACAAAATGGTTGTCCAAAAACTTGAACCTGCATGGCAATCCAATCTTTACCACTTCACCAAGTAATGACCCCAATAAATACCCATATGCCTGCAGGGTGTTTCTTCTGCAATATTCTTCACCAAATGCTCACTGTTGCAATAACAGAAGCTCTTGTTGCTTCATCTCATGTAGGTTGCTAAATGGAACTAAAAGATCATCCACTTCTACTTCTGTTCTCAGACTTGCTGCTTTGGCCATTGAATTACTGATTTTATCCTCAAAAGATTTTAAATACATAATGCTATGCCAGGAAGTTCTGATCATTTGCCTCAATCAATTACACCGAGACTATTTGTCATAAAAAGTATATATAAAGTTCACCAAAAGACATTTGATGGCTTGATAAACTTTAACTATAGGAAGCTTACCAACTTAATTAAATTTCAATACATACACCTTTAAAAGTGAATCACAAAAAAACCACAACTATACCAGTCACATAATCAAAAGCTGGTCTTAAATTAACAAGACATTATGGATGTCAGAAGTGACTCATCACGCATTTAGAAATAGTAAAAATAAACCTGACACTTCAAACAGTAGCAGCAGCAAAGTCAAACTCAGTAATAGAACTCCTGCATCTTGAATCGTGTTAGAACCATTGTAGGTATAATTAGGGTAAGTGTGAAACATCACTGTAAACTACAACACCTAGAGAGATCTTATGCAGTTATGCTTTCTTGTTTGTCGTCTTTGTGATTTTTAAAACCATCTACTTGAATGATATCCCTCCATAATTGGAGCAATTTGCACGTGTAACAGGTAGGTGGTGGGCTGTTCTAGAAGCCTTTGGTTTAAAGCCAATATGAAACAAGGGCATGGTGAATGGAAGGAATAAATGAATGATCTTAAACTAGCCAATAACAAAAATATGACTCCCAATGAAGTGAATGGCATGGGAGAAAGGTCTTGTGGCCAGAAAAAATCTGGGATGAAATGAGTGATTTTCTCATAAAGTAAAAAATATTCAGTATTATTTAGTAATAAAATGCATAAAAGCATGTCGAGGATGAAAATTGACAGCATGCACAGATAATTCATTATCTAGATAACATACACAAGTTGTTGAACAATGTTCCATCAATTTGCATACTTTAAATATGAGAAAATAATTCTATCTATTTTCCTTAATGTCTTGATACTCCATTTCTTTCCACTTCTTATTGAAGTCGCTATAAGTTATAATAAGCTTGAAAGGCATGGGCGAGTGACAAAACAATTTGATTCTTCTCTTATGGAATCCAAATTCATGAAAATTCTCAAGCCAATTAAACAATGATTATTCATAGATCATTTCATTGTTTTTTTAAAAAGCTTTTCATGCTTGATTGCAAATAATTCAAACATTTAAAAGCAACATCATAAATGAACATATTCCAAAAGAATACTTAGAAAGGGCAGACGAAAAGATGCTCATATCCACAAGAGATCATAAAATTGGTAACTATCACTTACTTATTAGTAACCAAAATGTCCGATAGAATAGTACTAGTAGTCCAGTAGTTTATATATATAAAGCTTATAACTATATATATTTTAAGTTATAAATTAGTATTTAATACTTTTAAATTATTTACCTGGTAAAAGGGCGTCTTTTTGGTGGGTTTAGAAGTTGAAATCACATAAAAATCAATAAATAAAATAAAATATAATTGAGAAAAAGTGACAGAAATGATATTTATACACTTATCAAAACTATTGTTATCATAAAGTTATGGCAGGTAATAGACTGAAACAACCTATCACAGCCTTTAAAGGCACGCAATGGCTCATAACGACCATTACACAGCCTATCAGATTCTGCAGCTATCATTTTTGGAAGTACCAATAATTGGCCTTTAACAGTGTTGCTCCATGGGGATAGCATTACATAACGGGTTTATGTAACTGTAATGCCTGAGATTTTTAAAAGGGAGAATTGAATAAAACCCCTTTTGACTTTTAGTGATTGGCAATAAATCCCCATTTTTATTTTTATTTTTTTCGCAGAAAACCTCACTAAACTAACAGAGGGAGTTACGAAGTAAATGACCGTTTAAAAAGTCACTGGAAATGGCACGTGACTTCGATATGCCATTTTTTGTGACGAAAATGCCCTTTTGCGTTTTTATTCAAGGAAGTTTTGGTGTGTATGTGTGTGCGTATATGTTATATATACACCAAAATGATGAGAAAGAAAAAGACTCTGTTAAGAAGGGCAAAGCAAAGACAGATCCAAAGCGTCAACAATCAATCGCCCCAACACCAACTTTCACCATAAGAGTTGGCCTCATAAAATTGATCATACTTGCACTCAAATTTCCAAAAACGACCAACTTCATAACCTGAATTAATTATTCTGAAAAAAAGAACAGAACATTCAGTTTCTTCACCTGAGCAACAAATCATCACTATCGAGACCGTTCATAGCAGAACAAACTTTGAAACCTTTGCTCAATTTCAAAACGAAAATGACCCACTTCGTCTTTTGAGTAACATCTTCATCTATGTTAAGGCCTTCAACCTCAGTTTGGGGCTTCACAAACACTGTTTTGCAGATGATAGGGAAAGAGACCTTCCCAAACTTATTGAGACTCAGAGAAATTAATCCAACGCGACATCGTCTCATAAACTGATGCTTGAGACACAATTTTGGTCTTGTTGGATAATTTAATGTATCGAAAAGGGGTTTTAAACCGGTGTGGAGCAGAAAATCTTTTACTTGCAAAATGCTAGGAAGAAACAAGAAAAACGAAACATTAATGTATTTGCATATGTGTATACATATATATAAATGATTTACTTGGTGAAACTGGGGTAGGTGAAGAAAGAAGTCGAGAAGTGAGGAACATGCTAATGGAAAATCAATAGGCGTGCTATCTGTAATCAGCCGCTTAAGGTTGATGGGAACAACTGATTACTAGCAAACTTAAACTGAAATTGGGAATCCACCATTAAAATTACAGATGCTCAAGGTAAAATCCAAGGGAATGTCATACCTTCAAAGTCTTCGGCTGGGTAAGAACACTATTGAGTGAATCAGATAGGGATTGGGTGTAATCTGAGAATGATGGTCAAAACCGGTGTTGTTTTGAACAAATTAAAATCTTAGGCAAACAGGCCACATTTTTTTTTTGATAAGTACAAACAGACCACATTACAGAGACAAGATAAATACATATACCAAAACGGTATCCTAAAGACAAGGGGTATGTCAGTAATTTTCAGATTCCATTAACTAGGCCATTTACTTCCGTAATCCCGTCAGTTAGTTGAGGGAGGTTTTACGCCAAAAATAAATAAATAAACAGAAAGGGGGTTTATTGCCAATCGCTACAAGTCAAGGAGGATTTTATGCAATTCGCCTTTTCTAAAACCATGCATCCGGCTAAATTCAACAATGCAATAACTTACAAGTTTTTTCCCTTAGTTGAATCGCTGGGATAGTAATGCATGGCACAATTGTTCAATATTTGTCTACTAAAGCTCTTTACAAATACATTCAGGGGGGAGAAAAAAAAACTCTTAACAAACTAAACAATAATTTAGGGGAAAAAAAACTATTAAAAGGAGCTGCTTCCATTACAACCCCAAGTGGAAACATGCGCACTGCATATTATAAGGATATAGGTCCATGTGCATCAACTGTGCCTACACACCAGAAGTCTCCAACCCAAAGAATAAGGATCAAAATCCATATATACAAGAGATAAAAAGAACATGGTAAATGTGCACTACATTTAAATAATTTAAAAATGATATCTCTTCCTAAATCACCACCGAACAGTTTTTGTTCCTTTAATTAGTGAATTTCTCAAAACAAGAAAACCAGAGGATAATCGAAGTTATCGAATAAACTAATGTTTAACATCAATTAACATGCAAATTCTTTAAGACTTTATTAATCGGGACATCTAATATGTTCTTAAAACCATCCACCTGAAATCTCTAGATGCCTAAAAATCCACATACACAAGATTAACCCAATCCCTTAAAAATGGTATCATAAGAAAGATTAAAACATACTAAAAATATTGATTACCAACAAGGTATGAAGCGTAGAAATATTTACCAGCAAACGCCTCCTTCGCTTGCGGATGGTTGCATTTGTCAGGATGAACCAGTAAAGATAACTACATAATTAATAAACAAGTCAATGAATGGCCCAATCAAAAGACATTACCACAACAAATCCGTCAACTGCTCTTGTTTCTATAAAGGAATTACCTTGCGGTATTGCTTTTTCACATCTTCCGGGGATGAATCAAATGGTAGGTTAAGATACTCGAATGCATTTAACTTGAAGCACGAAAGGATCCTACAAAATTTTAGAATTTTTTTCCATTAATGTCAAGATAGATTAGCAGAGCAATAGAAAATAACATAATCAAATAAGCACGCATTTTAAAAATAAGCATGTCGTTTTGAAACATGAGCATTTCTACAAAACTACAATATGCAATCAATATATAAGAATTATTTGCACAAAGCAACTACTCTCAGAATTAAAGTTTAAACCTTTGTTCTCACACTTGAGAACCCAAGCGTTTTACTTGTACACAAAGTAATGACTCCATTAATCCAAGTTTTTTTTATAGCAAGTCGTTACAAGTTGTTTGTCAAATTTGACTACAAACAAATTGCCATAATCATTACTATGTTAATACCCCCTATCTGGACTGTATAGATTTTTTTACCTCTGTGAAAGAATTTTCATCTTTAATAAACAAAAAAAACAAATATGAAAAACCACTCTAAGTAACAAAAACTCTGTTAATTCGCATTCCACTTCTTCAATTACACACTATCAGAACATCTTACATAAATTAGTACTTCTATTTCAATAGAATCCCGTTACATATTGATTTTGTCAAACTCACTACATATTACCAAAATTTAACCACTACCCTATTCATGTCCATCAAATTCCAATCCACAAAATAAAACATAAACACATATGTATACATAATACATATATATCATATAAATGTGTATTTGCATTCTGCCCAATTCAGGTGTTCCTTTTGATGCCTTGCTTTTGATGCTCAAAAACCCTAACTGTTACAATTTAAAAGCATTTGCTGAAAAAGAGAACCAGAAACATCTATGAAAATATCAAGTCCAAGTATATATATAGAGAGAGAGGACCTGACGACTTCGTTGCCGCGCTCAACCTCGCTCACCTCGGCGAAGAAGTTCTTGAGGAGCAAATCTTCGTCGGCGGTGTTCCCTCCCATCCCCAGAATTTGTACCTCTGCTCTCAACGCTCTTACTGTCAGATTATTCTTCCGATTCAGAGAAGTATTGGACAAGACCAGAATTTTATCATTGCAACTCTGATATGCACTCGAGTTCCGTTTGGAGTGCGTTTGGATCGAGCGGAAAGGAAAGAAAGAAAAGGGAAGGAAATGAAAGAAGAGTGACCTTTTCTGATATTTTATTTTATTTATTTATTTTGTACTACTTTAATAAGAATCAAGATTTGAGGAGGGGGTCATCCTTTTGGTAATATATTTTTTTATTTTTACTTTCTTCGTATTTGATAAAGCTCGATGAGATTGGGGTAGAGTTTATCACACGGACATGTAAGATAATCTGCAAAAAATTTATAAATAAATTATTTTTATTAAATTTTAATTTTTTTTTTAGTAAATATTTTACGACAACTGAATATCAAAAAATAACAAAATATTTTTTGACCAAACAAATGAATCTATATGTCAATTCATTTTATATATTTAATATTTTAAAATTATTTTTAATAATATTATTTCAAATTATTTTTAATAATATTATTTCAAATTATTTTTGGTTGCTCTCCTCTCCTATCACATTCTATTATAACTAGACTAAAGAAATTCAACAATTTCCGGAGAGTACTTCTATTTGGTCTTACATTTCATGCTCTCTTGATTTTTTTTAGATTATCATTAATTTTTGTGCCTTTATCCCCTTCCATCAATGTATAGGTTTTAGGATCTCTTCTCTTTTGATGTCAGTGAGGGTATGTCCCAACTTACTCACTTGTACATTATTGACGCATCTATAATTTTTTTCCAAAACGTTTAATGAAAAAAATAGAGATTAGTCTCTACTTCATTTCATCGCGTCACTGAATCTCTATAAACCATTTAAGTTTTAATCCCTCCAATATTCTCACCAATCGGTATTATACCTTTTTTTTCTCTTACACATTTATTAGTGTCCCTGTCTCTTCTTGTCAGTGTACTAATCTACCTTAACATTTTGATTTTAACACTTCCTTCCATACAAAAAATTTGGTTTAATAATCTATATCTTATAAGATTATTTATTTAATTGTGATCCACATAATTTGGACATGTGACATATTATTTGATGACTAAGTAAATATATATCAATTAATATTATTTATTTTTAGTCAATTTATAATTACCTTTTTGGTAATTATTTATTGGAGAATTATTTTTCTTTCTTATTCCTTACTTTGATGGAAAGTAGAATTATGTTACTAAAAACAAAACTGGTTCTCTCTCTGTCTTTATAAAAGTGCATATACTCCATCAATTATGTACGATTAATGATACAATACTATAATGTTTATGTGTGCAGGAGGCTAAGAGAGAGAATCAGTTTCCATCTTTACCTGTTGATCAGAGTTACAGATTAGTTCGTGGTTAAAGGATCTAAACGTTAGATTTAATCTCAATAAGGTTTGATATCATGAATCGAGGTATTTATATCTAACTATTTATTTATACATTATAAATATGTAAAAATCATGAAGTTCTAAGTTATGGGATTCATGTAAATTTGTGATTAATGGCTTAACACGAATTATTAAAGTTTACGTGTGGTATCAGAGCTTATAATTTAGGAACTCGTTATTTTCCACTAAAATTTGCATAATATATATATATATATATATATATATATATATATATATAAATTAAAATTAAATAATTAAATTTGTTTTGGAATCGTGAATGCATAATGGATTAGTATAATGGATCAGTTGATCAATTTATTTTAGTTTGCATGATCAATTTTTGAACCTGTAAATTGATTTATATAAATTGATTTCTTATCCTTACTGAATTGTCTAATAGTTGAAGTATATGTATGAGTTTGTTTTTTTTTATTCCATGAATGACTAGAATAGCAATTAGAATTGAAATAGTTGGTTTTATTTTTTGCGTAAATCGAAGTAATGAATTTTAATGCTAACTACTGATTTTTGTACAAACTTATATATATACTTGTTATCGTATCTCATTAATTACATATATGATAAATTAATGGAGAGTGATTTATTTTATTATAAAAAATTAAATTTCTGAAATAATGTGTGAGTTTGGAAATTTGATTTAATTTTGTTAGACATATAAATAAATTATTGTTTTGTATCCAAACATACATACATATTGGTGAATCAGTTTTAAATTGATTCAATTATGATCTTCAAGTCCGAAAATAAAAATAACGTATTTTATTATGTATATAAAGTAAAAGGATATTTTTTATTGAATTTTTGAACTATTAAGTTTTTGGGATCGAACCTACCTAAATTTGGATCGATCAGTATGAGTATGTGTATGTAATATTAAATGGGTAGATTAATGATTAATTAGTTACTAACTAATTTAATATTCATATTATGTGAGGGTTAGTAGCTACCAAAGTTGCCTAACTATAATGGTCGATGAATATTAATTTTAGTAGTAAATATAACTTAATGATGAATTAATCTCTGTCTAATCTAATATTCATATTATGTGAAGATTGGTTGCTACCAAAGTGGCCCAATCATAATGATTGATGAATATTAATTTTTGTAGTAGATATAATTAATCATAAATTAGTTACTATCTAATTTAATATTCATATTATGTAAAGGTTGGTAGTTACCAAAGTGGCCTAACTATAATAGTTAATGAATATTAATTTTAGTAGTATACATAATTTCAATATTTCATTAATTATGATTCTTATTATTTTTTGTGATATTCATGAATATTGAGTTTATTTAGTTATGAGAAATAATTTTCCAAAGGGAATTGATTTTCAAGTGATTAAATAAAAATTAAGGGATTGCATGTATTTTTTAATTAGGTAGATATAGGATATCCAAAGATAACTTATTTGTTTAATTAAATAATACATCACCAATGAAGGTATACATATAAATACAAATAAGCATCATTATTAGTATTTTATAGTTGCCACCCAAATGGGTACTATAGTTATACATTGTATTTATATTTTTAAGTTATATATACGTGTTGTTAACTCAAAGCATTATTGTTGTGAGCATTTTATTTTATTATGTTTGTTTTATTACATCCCTTAATTCGCATGTTACATCTGTTCTAATTGTCAATAGGACTAACTTCTCATAATGGAATGAGTAAATTAAGTTCAAAATTTAGGTGTGCTAAATCAAGATTTAGCATTTTAAATTAAGAACTTACTGTTATTACTGATAAAAACAGTGAGGAAGAAAAGATTTTCCATAAAACATGGGAGAGATCGAATAGATTAAGTGTTATAGTTATGCGAATAATTGTTTCCCATAGTGATAGTGCTAAAGAATATTTTGACTAGAAGAATGTTTTCATATTGTAGATAAATATCTAAAATGAAAATTATTAATTTATATCACTACTATGCAATTTTGTTGGTACTCTTACCATGTATGAGTATATTTTTTTTAGATGACTAATGTTGTTGCAAAATTGAGAACCTTATAGATGATTGTGAATGAGAATTTTCTTATTCAATTTATTCTCAATTTCTTGTCAATTCAGTATGGGTCATAGAGAATTAACATTATTAAGACAACTGGAAAGTGATTTAATTGACCATTATGTTAATTTAGGAGGAGACAAGATTTAAGTAGCAAGGTAATCATTATGTTCATCTGATAACTCAAGAAGTTACAAATAAATTTTGGGAATAAGCTTGAAAATGCATTAAGTGAGCAACACCCAAAATTTAAAGATTTAGGTCAATTTACTAAAAGAAATGAATGTAATAATGAAAAAGTGTCATTAATGTATTGAACACTTTTAGAAAGAATATATGAAATATAAAGAATGATTCGAAAAAAAAAGGGTAAGCTTTTGGCTTTTGTATATTTCGAATTACTTATTGAAAGTCTTTCTAATACATGATAGGTTGACTTAAGTACTAATGTTTATGTTTCTAATAAATGCAAGAATTTCTTGTGGCATAAATCACAAATTCAAATAAGAATTTCTTATTTATGATAATTGGGAAAAAGTTTTGTTGAAACTATTGTGACATTATGTTTAATGTTAGACAGTGGATTTTATTTAAATTGCTTTAAATTTAAATTATTTTAAATTATTTTATATTTATTCAATTTCCCATAATTTGATTTTATTTTAAAATTTTATGTTAATGGTTTTTCATTTAAATTTGATAATGATGTTTATTAAAAAAATTCTAATTTGTGAGGTATGGTATTATTGTTGATGGTTTTTATAAATTCAAACTTAATAGTTTATTTATTAAAAAACCTTTTGATCTTGCATCATAATGTTAGAATTAAGCATAGCTTAATTAATAGAAAATTTATCTTTCTTGTGACATAAAAGACTAGGTCAATATCTAGTGAAAGGTTAGAAAATTTAGTGAATGATGTGATTTTTCTGAATCTAAACTTTACTGATTTTGGTATGTATAGATTGTATTAAGGGTAAACAAACCAAACACACAAAAAAATGAGCCACAATAAGTACATAACTTCTTGAAATTTTTTCATACAGACATTTGTAGACCTTCCGATGTTCCATCTTTTGGAGGAAAAAAGTATTTTATCGTCTTTTTAGTTGATTTTTCACGTTATGGATATATTTATTTGTTGTATGAAAAATCTCAAACAGTGGGTACTCTCGAAGTATACATAAATGAGGTTAAAAAATAACTAAATAGAAAAGTGAAAATCATAAAGTCATATAGAGGTGGTGAATATTATGGAAAGTATGATGAAACGGGTTAATACTCTAACCGTTTGTTAAACTCCTTAAAATGTATGACATTTGTGTTCAATACACTTTGTTATACATGCCACAGCAAAAACGTGTAGCTATAAGGTGTAATCGTATTCTTATGGAATTGGTTAGGAGTATGTTAAGTAATTCCTCATTACCCATAATGTTGTGGATGTTAAGTAATCTAAAGGGTACAAGTTTTACTATACTAAACATAGTACGATAATTATTGAAACCGATAATGTCAGATTCATTGAGAATGGTGAAGTCAGTGGGAGTGATAAAAATAAGAATGTGATCATTCAAGAAATTATGGTATAAATTTATTTATCCATAACTTTTAAGGAAATAATTATTCTTTCAATTGTTGAACCGTAAAAAATAATTGAATGATCAACAACTCCATAATGAGATTGTTACCAATGAATAGATTG